TTCCTATATTTATTTATTATTGACTCACACACAACTAAGGTGTCTCTCAAGACAGATTTCACTTAATGATATCAATTTACTTATTTTTCCGGTGCGGCGTTTACAAGCAAGTACTAGCACATGTACATAAACTTCGCATTAAAATAATAAAGAAATTGAAATCTAAAAGCCAACTGTGTCTTTAGTGATGTTAGAGCTTCTGAAATGGTACTGATAATGTGTCTCTCTCAAAAAGTACGCAACCTGAAATATCGATTTCTGTCCCAATATGACGACAACAGATAAGCATCTATATATAGACTGACTGATCGTAACGGTAAAGAGGTCAGTGACTTAGTGACCGACATCGCCTGCAGACGTATCCACCAATGGGGGCATAACTAGTCAAATCAAAAAGGAATTGTATTGTGTAAGATTTGTTTTCATTCTCGTTAAAGTTATTGAAAGAAGTAAGTGTATTATATTTGTTTCAGTGGATAAAGAATGGGATTTGGAAGGTTTCTTTACAAAGTTCATTGTGCTTGTAAATAGTACAGTGACTCAGTACACACAAGGACACACACACACACACACACACACACACACACACACACACACACACACACACACACACACACACACACACACACACATTCACACACACACATACACAGATATACCACACACATATCTATCTGTCTATCTATCTATCTATTCTCTCTTTCTGTTTCTCTCTCTCTTTCTCTCTCTTTCCCTTTTTTTCTCTCTCTTTCTCTCTCTCTGTCTCTCTCTCTGAGTTTATCCATACAAAACAAACCTTCCAAAACGCATTCTTTATCCCATAACACACATACTTCTATCACTGACTTTTGCAGTGAAATCAGTGGAAAGTCTGTGTGTCTGTGTCTGTCTGTCTGTCTCTCTCTCTCTTTCTCTCTCTTTCTCTCTCTCTATCTCTTTCTCTCTCTTTCTCTTTCTCTCTCTCACTTTCTCTCTCTCTCTTTCCCTTTCTCTCTCTTTCTCTCTCTTTCTCTCTCTCACTTTCTCTCTCTCTCTCTTTCTCTCTCTCTCTTTCTCTCTCTCTTTCTCACTCTCTCTCACTCTCTCTCTCTCTCTCTCTCTCTCTCTCTCTCTCTCTCTCTCTGTGTTTATCCATACAAAACAAACCTGCCAAAACAAAATACACGCGTATGCAGGTGGCTTAACATAAAACAAACAAGATACGGTTGACCATGGTGATGTATTTGATACGGTATCGTAGTTGTGGTATGAACCTTCAAAGTCTGCAGTTGGTCCATATGGATGCAATGTGTGAAGGCCGATTGTGATAATGGATTATTGTCAACAGCGAAGTATAGCCATAATCACTCAATCACTCACTGTTATTTTGATATCGTGACATAAGTAAATAAAACAATGTCCGTAAATAATATAATGCAGTGGAAACCATTGTTGAAGAAATTTAGTACGATTTTTGTCACAATACAAACATATTCCTCAGTATCACGACCATGAAAACCAGTTTTAAAGAACACTAAACAGTCCATAGATCTAAGACATCGTCCAGTAGGGCGGTGTTCTAACACCACTGATATCAATTAAATAGGCAATAATCAGGTGATAGAAAGCTCAACAACGTATATATGCCAAGGTCGACTGTGCCAGCTGTAACTGATAGGTTAATTGGATGAGGTGATTATCATAGTTATGTCCATAGCTAGCTGTGTTGTGTCAACTTGAACCTACATGCCCGTTGCCTCTGGTGTATGCCCATAGCTAGCTGTGTTGTGTCAACTTGAACCTACATGCCCGTTGCCTCTGTTTCATGTCCATAGCTACCTGTGTTGTGTCAACTTGAACCTACATGCCCGTTGCCTCTGGTGTATGCCCATAGCTAGCTGTGTTGTGTCAACCGGAGCCTACATGTCTGTTGCCTCTGTTGTACATGGCTGTTGCCTCTGTTGTATGTCCACAGCTGGTTGTGTTGTGTCAACTTAAACGTACATGTGCATGAGGCATCTTCCACTATATTTACTGCAATACACGATATGGCTTTTTTGTGTATGACGTTACAAACAAGGTATGATGTTTTGAGATCGTAATCTCTTCAAAACTTAATAAATTGATAATGGTGGTGATACAATTAATGATGACGTGATAATTATGATGAAGCTAGTGGCGATGATAGTGACAGGTGTTGCAATATTTGAGTACCACACGCTTTGTTGTAGAAACCCCCTTTCTGTCCTTGTTTCATCACAAAGTGAATGTGATATCAGTGATAAAAGTCCGAGTGAACACTTGACTTGCCTTTGCATGCGTTTTTGACAGGTTCCACCGGTGGGGAAGGATACGCTCACCATTTCGCGAACATCTTGCACAGATTTCCCATGATTACAGAAAGAGATTTGCTGGTTAAATTTTAAGCATCTTGAGAAATAATCTTAACGTTCTAGATTATAAATAATCTGGTTTTAGAAACATCATGCACTGTCGAATAATTCTGAGATTGCACTTCTGAAACCATCCTGTAGGAAACGTTCGGATTTGGAAATCCTTTCAAAGCAATTTAATACTTTGTGGTTATATCACAAATGGTAATATTTTACAATATCGGCAGTCAATTTAAATGTCTATCAATAGTGTTTGCAAAAGTATCATAAAAAAGTGACCCGATATGAAGGAGATTCTCACTCATGTCTTGCGTGCCGGATTATAATGGACGCACGTGTACATGCAATACAACATAGTGGGTACGTGCGGATAACTATCACGACCTAGATAAAGATGTCGTGATAAGCTCGAATCACCAGTTCACTCTCCGCACGAGATGACCGCGTGTCATTATATAAAGATATGCATTACCACAATATGCCCAGTGCCCCTATATGTCGCAACTCTTGGTGCTTAGTTTGCCTGCATTATCTATGAAAACAATCAATAGCTAAATGTCTAAATTGCATGTTAACATAATTTCCTAAAATGTTTTGTTAACTTATTTTCTTTTAGCATTTAGTTCATATTTTGAACATGATGGTATTATATTGTATCCATATCTATTTACTAATAGATTGCGAATAATCCTACCATATCCAGAATGCTTCTCGGAAGCGAGAAACGGGATCGGGTGGTCGGGTTGATGCATGTCATCTATCCCGGTCGGTCACTCTGCTACATGACGTCAGTTTATCAGTCTACTTATATTCAACGTTTTCTTCCGTCCATATAAATGGGGTTTAACTATGATTAACGTAGTCGCTAATATGGCTGAATATGTTTACTGAGTGAGTGAGTTTAACGCCGCTTTTAACATTAGTCCAGTTATATCGCGGAGTATCAGCTTAATGTGGGAGGAAAGCCCGAAGTGATGCAGGTTTCAGACGTTTACCACTTCGGTGAAACCCACGAGCACGGGTATGGTGCTGACAAACCTAGAAACATAATCGGGGCGAACCGGGATTCAAATCCACAATCATAGGTTTCTGGCGTGGCCAAGGGACGCAACTCTGCACAGCGAATTGCGGCGCCTTAGACGACTGGCCCACCCGTGCCCCCATATGTCTACTGACTAGCTGTTCATGGGTTTTCTGAGTGATCATGATTTTTTTCTATTGAAACAAATGCATGTGGTTTCTATCTGGTCATTGGTCTTCAGTTTAAATGGGAACCAAGGGCACGAGGAAGTCTCGGTAATAATGTAATGACTGGCAATGATAGCAGGTAGCTCCCCACAAACGTATGCTCTTGCGTGGATTGGGTGGCCAGGCTTGGTAACTCGTCACCACTCGCCCCTTTCCGTGACCTGCAAGAAGACTCGTCCCCCTATCGATGAATGTTATGTGCGAAAATACGACAAACCAATCAGAATGCGCGTATGATTTCGAGTTCTTTATCAAATAATCCCTCAGAAATAATTTTTGATTTTACATATGTCTTGCATCTAAAATTATACCCAAGACACATTTAAATGTGTTCATTATACTGTATAATTCCGCACGTCCCGATGTGCTTTAAATTGCATCTGAAATACATACAATATATGGGGAAATATATGTGAACCATTACGCAACGAGTTGACAATTGTTTTAGGTATGCCCGTTTGCGCTAAGACGGATCCCGGTGGCAAAAATGGCCACGAGAGGGGCACGAGTCACTATACGGCTTGTCACGGAATAACACGAGTTGGTCACGAATGGGTAACTTGGTTGACTGCACGTCATCGGGAATCGTTGCTCATAATATTGACCACTATCTGGTCCTGACTTGATTCTTTACAGATCGCCGTCATGCGGCATTAAACAACAAACAAAACAAACTTGTGGTTAACAAGGGAGAGAGTTCTATAGAAATACAAATTATAATTACAATGAATGCGGTATCTCGATAAAGCTACCAACGCCGTTGTCAAAAACCATTTGCTTGATGATGATGTTCATATAGGGAGTTGTATATCCATAGAACTCTCTCCCTTGTTCACCATACCAACTTCTAAATGTCCGTTGAAGAACTTAATCTTGTGGTGTCGTAGAAAGATATTAGTTTTCTACGTATAGTTCCCCTAGACAAGGGGTGACATGCCCTATTTCAGTTACTGTTTCTATCGCCTATTTATTTTAAATCATTTAAGCAGAGTTGCCGTGTTGATGAACTACGTATTTGTTCGGGCACCTTGACGACCATACGGGGCGGTCGGGTAGCCTAGTGGTTCAAGCGTTCGCTCGTCACGCCGAAGACTCGGGTTCGATTCCCGACATGGGTGTACAATGTGTGAAGCCAATTTCTGGTGTCCCCCGCCGTGATATTGCTGGAATATAGCTAAAAGCGGCGTAGAACCATACTCACTCACTCACTCACTTGACGACTAAACTGTCTTTCAAACACCAGAGACTTCTCGCTGTAATAAGCTTCCGTTAAAAGTCACCTCAGTCACCTTAGCGCTAAGATCACTTTGTGGAAGGGGCCCCCGGACAACTTAGCAGCATGTGAAATGTCTAACTAGATTTATTTATCGTTCTACGTAGTCATGGAAACGCCGCTGGATCGTGGTCCACCAGATGAGCGACCTCACCAGCGGTGCCTACGCTGCCAAGATCGAGGTGTACACAGACGAAGAGACAGCCGTTCGAACGCCAGGAGACAGACAGACGTTTGTCCTAGATCACGTGACCGATGTCCAGCTCGCGACGTCAAAGACACACCCCTATGCGTTTGAAATCGTGGAGACAGAACCAGTTCTAGTCTTCTCAGGCTCGTCCAATGAGGAGACACTGCAGTGGATGAACGCCTTTAAGAAAATCTTCTATCCAGAAAAACCGGGAGGAGAATACGGTAATCTTTTGTTTTCTGTGAATAGAAAAATCGAAAGGAAAACCCAAAACAATTAAACCAATAAGAAGGTGACAGATTTATGAGTGTTAGTTGGGCTAAACACCGTTTCGAACATTAGTACTTGAGTTATATCAAAGAATGTCGTGTAATGTGTGACGCAGGTCGTAGACCTTTTGGTGTAGCTTAGTGGTTCGCTCGTTCGCTCGTTCGCTCGTTCGCCGAAGGTCCAGGTTCGATTCCCCAATGTGTGAAGCCCATTTCTGGTGTCCTCCGCAATAATATTGCTAAAATATTGCTAAAAACGGCGTAAAACCATACACAATTACCCGTGCATCACTTTCGGAAGCATGGACAAAATATCATAACAGGGAAGAATGTGAGGTTGGAACCCAGGGCCAGCATGCTTTGCGTGAGTAAGGGGCGCAACCCTGAGCAGCGAGACCGTTGAAGAACCGGGTAGAGAATAGGTCTTCAGCAACCCATGCTTGCCGTAAGCGGCGACTAACGGGATCGGGTGGTCAGGCTCGCTGACTTGGTTGATGCATGTTATCGTATCCCAATTTTGGAGATCGATGCTCATGATGTCAATCACTGGACTGTCTGGTCAAGATTTGTTAATTTACAGACCGCCGCCAAATGGCTGGAATATCGCTGAGTGCGGCGTTAAACAATAAACAAACAAATTGTGTGATCTTAGAACGCTGGGTCTTTTGAAAACTTTGTAGTAATGAAACTAGAATCAGTATTAAACAACAAGTAAGTGTATACATATATTGTTTTCTTTTATCCACTTCAATTATATTTTTAATTTCCAAAATATTATTGTAAATTAAATCAAAATGTTGGTCTACAGGCAGGTACGAGGTCAGTATCCAGCCTAACACTCACTCTGCAAGATTAAACCTGGATGGAAAGTACACGTTGTCAGTGACAACCAGTGACGTGGCACTTCAGACGGCAGATGGTGGTGACGTCATAAAATGGGGCCTCGGCTCTCTGAAGAGATTCCACCTGGACACAGAGCCAAACGCCAATCAGAGAAAAGTGTTGGTCATCCACAGTGGACCGTAAGTTCTTCACCACCATTTGATAATTAAATTTGGTCAGTGGAACTCCAGAATACCTGTCAGGTATTTGAACCTTATTCTATTTACGTATGTGACGTATAACTATAAAAAATGTCAGATATTCTGTCAAATGTAATTTGTAGAATTATACATATTTGTAGAGAAGGCTAATATTTCGCCAGGGTTGTGAGTGCAAGAGTATTGTTTTACGCCGCTTTTAGCAACATTCTAGCAACATCTCGCCGGGGGACACTGGGAATGGCCTTCACGCATTGAACCCATTTGGGGAATCGAACTCGGGTCTTTAGTGAGACGAAAGAACGCTTTAACCACTAGGCTACCGTCCCTCGTTAGCATTGTAGTTATATGGCTTTGACTGAAGATACTTCTTGTCTTCCAGAAATTCCTACACCGGAGAAGGCATTTTCCGCTTTTTGTCAAGTCGTGCAGAGACTATCCTCAGCGCCATCAGAATGTGCATCAAGGAAGCCATTGCTCTCAAACAAAAGCAACGAGAGTTAGTACCTCAGGATCACAACAGAGACAGGACAGTGTCCTTTACCGCCAGCGAGAAGAACTTCAATGTGCTTCTTGACAACATCAAGTTTGGTGACATGAAAGGGGATCGATCAGGGTCGATATTGTCATCGTCCTCAAAGACGTCCACCATGTCGTCCATCGGCTCGACCCCACCCTGTTCCCCAACATCAGCGTCCCCTTCCGTCAGTCCACCTAATTTACCAGCGCGTAGATTAGGGGACTCTCCGGGGAAGATCCCCAAAAATGCAAGTGTTCCCAATATAGCTGCACATGGGGATGACACTGGGTACAGCCACATTCGTGACAAACTAAGAACCATGTCCCTCACGTCTCGCACTTCCGTGACATCGCGAGACTCGGGAGTAGTGTTCCCTGACACTGATGGAAAGGGGCCCCCAGAAAGAGTGAGGAAGGTTTCTGTGGAGAAAAGATGTTTCAGCAACTCTTTCGATAGTGCCGTGTCCAGTGGTTCTTTCGAAGAGGCAAGGCGGAAAATTAGCGACGTTGAACAGCCCATCGAAGAAGAAAGTCCCCCAGTGCCTATATACAATGACATTGACGACAAACACGTTACCGGTGATTCGAAGAAAATATCAATGGATGGCAAACAAAGGAGGCATTCTACCGGTGAGTGTAAAAAGGAGAATGAGTATGAGGATTTGGAGAAGTTCAGGAGCAAGGATAAGGACAGCAGTGAAGAAACTACGAAGAAGACAGATGTCCCTCCAGCGTTACCAGAAAGGCCTCGAGTCCTCCGTCTACGTCAATCGCCAACCGATGTGTCTCCGCTGCAAAGAACTGGATCAGGTTCTAAGGCTTTCAGACACAGCTGTATTGCCAAACTCGCAAACTTTGACCAAGGACGAAGAGGTTCTTCAGGTGACTTTGTGGACGAGGTCGGTGGAACCAAGGCTCTCTCAAGATCAAGCAGTAAAGACTTGTACGCATCAATTCCAGACTTAGGTTCTCGAGACAGCTTGGGTTCTGATGCTATTCCTATACAAGGTGGTAAAAGGCAACCGTCTCCCCTAGAAGATGTCAGTGAGGTCTGTCTGAACATCTTTGCCCCTTCTGTAGGGGACTGGAAAATTTCATCAGGAACACCTCCACGTGAAACAATTTCCAGATCATTGCCACCAACACCTCCTCAAACGACACCTTCGAACCAGCCTCCCGTGGATGACCTTTTGGGCCTTGGCCCTTCCATGACAAACACAGAGCGGCTGCCTGTTCCTCTTATTGACATTACAGAAGGCGTGGACATGACTGTGACCAAGCCAGCTGATTTATTGAAAGGATTTGATCCTTTTGAAAGTAACTCAATGACCAATGACTTATTGATCCAGGGTGACTGGTCCTGTTCAGTAACCGACACTTCGGCCGATACAGGCCAGGAAAACCCTTACTTCGACATGGGTGCAAACAGGAGGGCGGAAATGGAAGCAGAGACTGAACTCATTTATATGGCGCCTTCAAAGGAATGAACATATGAATGAGTGAGATTTTACTCTGCTTTGTTACTTCAGCTTAATGTGGGAGGAAACCAATAATGACGCAGGTCATGAGCGTTTACACGAACAGAACACGGATACAGCAGGATCGTGAATTCGCACCCATGATAAGTGGAGCCTGGCACATCAAAGGGACGCAACTCTGCACAGCTTTTGATCACAGGACTTGAAATGAAATTGAACACATGTCGATGTGAACTACAATATAATGTCTCCAGAATTGTGCAATAGATACACGTTGTTTCCAAAAGGACGTTTTCTACAATGCATCGTGTGTTTAACACATCTAAACAATTATGTACTTTTGATATGTAATGATGTGATACATAGAAGTGTAATCAAATCCAAGAAAGTGCAATACTGTGGAAATTCATGAAAATGATTTGTTCCAAAAATTACCGGAAGCAAATAATTTTGCCTCACAAGAATATTAAATGGTCAATTTGTCCATGCAAGGTTCCTGTTGGTGTCATTACTATGATAAAGAAGACTTTATACATCGTAATACGACGTCGACACGCGTGGAAACGTACACAGTTGTGTGGTCACAGCCTGCTTCTTCGAAAACAGTTTTAAATCAGGATTTTCGCATAAACATGCCTGAATGGGGAGTTACCCTGGCAGTTAACCCCAAGTTGACATTCCTATAGGGGTTGTGTCAACGAAATGATATAGAAGCAAGCACATTGCAGTGACTTCGACATGCATTAGCAGAGACTATATGTTCCTAAACATACCTCATGTACTTGTTTACCCCTAAAGCGCCTTTATATTCACGTTAGTTCCAAAGCATTACTAATCATGTCTTCGATGGGCATTTACAAGTTGGAAGAACATGAAGCATGAAACAGTATGGATAACGATTTCTCCATTGTTTGTAACGACTTTTCAAAGCATCTTCTTGACTCTCCATCAGGGGCAACAAGAAGCTCTGAAACGTCGTTATAAACAATGAAAAAGGTGTTATCCATAAACATTTTCATGTCTTCAAATACTAATAATGTCGATGCGTACAGTTTAACATTGTTATATAAACATGACCTAATGTAATATTTATGTACGATTCATGTTTCAGTATAGATTAATATTGATATAAAGGCCATGTAAAAATGTAACAGTATTCTGCATTCACCTCAATCACCTCCTGTGTTCTGTCACTAGAAACAGCATAAACGTGCAACTTAAACAAGTATAGGAGTAAACCACCGTATTTACAGTAAATACTTGCCAAGATCATATTGCCAAGACTGTGAACACTTAAACCAGTTTAACATTAATAGAAAAGGGTGGTCATTTGAAACCTACGGTACGACTAGATCCTTGTCAGGACAATCTATTAAAATGTCATAATCTCCTCTCAGTTTTACACACCAAGACTACAAAGCCCGTGTAGCATATGTCTTTAGTGCCTTTCGTGGAACATTGTGAAGGTAGTGGTAGTGGTACTGGTAGGGCAGGGCACACTTACCCTTTTCGTGAACACCTGATGTCATCACTGACTTTCTGTGATCCATTCATAAACTTTTCACAGCTATTTTGCCATTTACACCCGATGGAATATGTTTCGGTGGATAATCGAGACTGGTTATTCTCTGGCGTTAACCTTTTATATTTTAAAATAACTCACGATGGAGGTCTATACCAAATTAAAACGACAAAACCTTTTCCATATTCATAAGAGGTGAGGTGAAATGGGGTTTAACGTCGCGTCCAAGATTATTGCACTTATATAGCGACGTGCATATTCTGTGAAATCTCTGCCCAAAACAGATTGTACGATTCTGACTAGATCATGAGAATGTGTGTATAAATCGCTATCAAATAGTGATGATATCAGGGGCGTGTCCTGAACCACCAGTGGCATCCGTCACAAACACATGCAAAGTCAAGTCAATTGTTCACCTGAAATAAACACGACAACATATGGTTCAAGTCAAAATTGGTGTCGGGCATAATTTTGGTCACTGATGCGTCAAATTTGGAAATATCCTCCTCATGTCTACTATAAAACTTTTTGAAAGCTTTACTGAGGCCTTGAATGTTGCAACTTTGATCAAACAACTTCAAGCAAGAATCGTATGACACTCCTTGAAATATTGGTGGAAAGACCATGCTCGATTGTACCGTACAAGTTGTGAAATGTAGACCCCTTCTGACAAAGTCCTCCAAACAGTGTCACTGTGCATATGATGAAAATCTGACAATTTATCTGTACCTGCTGTAGATGATTTCAATGTGCCAGTGGTATAGATCGTGTCCAGATTACAACACGTTAAAACATTCAATACCTCGAGTAACGACGATACATACCCCTCCTTCTCAGGTGAAGGCATTTTGAAAGCTTTTCTGTGATATTTTGTGTTTTTTAAATATCAACATTATTTTCGGTAAATGCTAATTCATAAGATGTAACCTGGGCCCACTTGCACAAAGCGATCTTAGTGCTACGACTATTGTAAGCCTATGTTAAAGTATGGGAGTTACGATCATCTTAGCACTAAGATCTCTTTGTCCAAGTTGGCCCTGGTGTGACTTCAATGCAGTCAAACAAGATATACACACTATTTGATAATTATCAACATGCTAATAAAGTTGTACATATCTATTGTGATTATACCGCACCTTTTGACCCGTTTCAAAATATTATACCAAATGAGATTAATTGATGGCAGGGCGGCCAATCAGTGTTGTTCCAACAGAGGTCAAGGTTGTTTTATGAGGTTTGTTCTGTTGTCTATGTACCAAATATGATAATGCAAAGTTGTAATTGATATACGTGTATCACAAGCTCATCAATAAAGTGCTATTCTCCTACACGTGTCCATGTTCATCTTTCACTAAGTTCGTCTCAGTTCCCAGGACCTCGATCAGCACTGAGGGTGCCAACCCCCTCCTCACCTTAATCCTCACTACTCGTTGCTCACCCCTGAATCCCGAATACTACTTAACACAAATCTGACGACACGATCCATTAAGTGAGGTGAGGTGAGATGCGATCTGAGGTCGCGTCCAGGATGATTGCACTTTTATAGCGACGTGCATGCGTATGTGTGTAGCTGCTTGTGTACTAGTCCGGACTGATGCTGTTTACGGTGCTAGCACACTGAGATATCATGCCGCAGTTTAACATGAATACCCCATTCAGACACAGTATACTGACTCCGAGCCGACCAGTCCTTTTTTTACCCCCTTAATGCCGAGCGCAAGACAGGGTATAAAAAAACATCTTTTAACGTCATTTGGTATGACGCGGCCGGGGATCGAACCTCGGATCATCCGCTCTCCGGGTGGCAACTCTACCACTAGACCACGGAGGCGGTCAACAAGTCGCCTCTTATGACCAGCATAGGACGCTGGGGACCATTTCTACCCTAGAACATGGGGCACAGGGGTCATATTCTCTTCTGGAATCCCCACAGGGACTCAATCATTAGATACTGCTGAGTTCTACCCCCTGCCCTTTTGTTAAAGACCCATCTGAAACGATTTCATATGACGGTTCTCAATGATCATTACAGTCAAACGAAAAGTAAATGCAGCAGAACCCACTGCACATTACTCATATAACAAAAGCAAATACGATTTTATTTCAGTTGGCGTTTATTTTCCTGAACTGTAGCTCAAACTGCCTTTCTTATAACACAACATTCAGGTGCAATGGAAATGTTTCTAATTCTTTTCCATTTCACTGTCATTACACTTGAAAGTACAATAATTACACTGCATAATCAGCACAACAAGGTAAAAGGGCTTTAATCATCAGTGACAGGTTTGCCAAATAAACACCACATGCATCAAATTAACCTTTAAAAAAATATGCTGATTCAGCATAATGCACAAACTACAGGATAAACCACAAGGTAAGCATTTTTCAGGCAAGTTTTTTAAAAAAGTCAATCAGCTTCTACGTAACTGATCATGAACACAATTCATGACAGCATATTTGGTGGAAATTACCAGCTGAAACATAGAAATAGCATGGCGATAAACTTCTTTTGAAGTATCCTTTGTATCCTAAGTATCCAAAAAGGCCATGAAATCCAAATATTTATCCTCTTGGTGAGGATCACTAAAAATATACTGTGTCCGCAGTCTGTGCTGTAAAATGTGTTTGATATCAGCTCTTTTAAGGTCAATTTGATCTGGATTTATCTTTTCTGCCTCACGCTATGAGTGAGTGTAAAGCAGTGTCTCGCCTTGTGTGGTTAACTTAGTCATGTTGAAAATACGTTCACAAACAAGCTGTATCACTAACACCATATTTTAAGCAAACTTTTACATCTAATCACAATAGTACCTGCCTCTAGGAAAAAATACAGAAACTATTTATACAAACAGTGTCAAACCTTGTTAATCTGGCGCTCAGTACTCAGAAGAAAGCCAAGGTATTGAATCATCTGGACCTCAGCAATCTGAAGAAAGCCAAGCTATTGAATCATCTGGACCTCAGCAATCAGAAGAAAGCCAAGCTATAGAATCATCTGGACCTCAGCAATCAGAAGAAAGCCAAGCTATTGAATCATCTGGACCTCAGCAATCAGAAGAAAGCCAAGCTATTGAATCATCTGGACCTCAGCAATCAGAAGAAAGCCAAGCTATTGAATCATCTGGACCTCACGGACCTCAGCACTCAGAAGAAAGCCAAGCTATTGAATCATCTAGACCTCAGCAATCAGAAGAATGCCAAGCTATTGAATCATCTGGACCTCAGCAATCAGAAGAAAGCCAAGCTATTGAATCATCTGGACCTCAGCAATCAGAAAAAAACTTAGCTATTGCATGGTTACTGCTAAGATAATAGCAACACAAGTAACTCATTAACTAAGATTTACCCACCAGATAACAAGCATCTAGATTAACAAGGTTTCATTCAAGTAGTTTGTGGCATATACTACTGAAAAGAAGTTAAAGAACCATTTTTTTCCTATTACTATAGTTAATTGGGTTTTACGTAACTTGTTTTGAGTAATATATGGACAAAATCAGTCTCTTTTTAAAAGAAATACTAGTTCATTGTTCCCATAATCGGATTACAATATCTATGTCAGAAAATGCTTAAAATATCTTGAGTAATTTACTTAGTGTTATACTAAACTCACAGTAATTATGGTGATGTTGGGATTTGGTGGTATGATAATCATGATTATAACTGCTTACATTAGGCCATAATAATTACATTATTTAGTACCTACAGAAGAAGAAAATCATTACGTGTGTTTTCTAATTTCTTTACTTGATGCAATACACCATATAGGCCTACTGCACTCATGTTCCATGTGAATCACATCCCTTGAAAATAAACTTACATAGTAGCTTGGTAAGTTGATGATGAAAACAAAATGAAACAAATGCCTCCCATTTTTGATAAATGTGGATGAAAATCCAGTACTTCAGTCATTGTGAGTGAGTGTGTTTGTTTCAACACCACTTTGAACAGTATTACAGTCATATCACGGCATGTCATCTTAATGTGGGAGGAAAGTCCGAAGTGATGCAGGTCTTAGACATTTACCAGTTGGGTGAAACCCATAAGCATGGGTATAGTGCTGACATACCTACAAATATGATCAGGGCGAACCGGGACCCAAACCCTGAATCATAGGTGTCTGGTGTGCCAAAAGGGACACAACTCTGCACAGAAAATTGTGACGCCTTAGACGACTGGGCCACCCGTGCCCCCTCAGTCACGGTGGCATAAATGTGTGTTTATATCACAGCATGCAGCATAATGGTAAGAAAGTCCAAAATGACACAGGTCATAGAGCACAGGTAATGTGCTGTCACACCAAGGTATAATCTGGGATTCAAAACCCATAAGTGGAGCTAAGGGAAGCAACTTTGCAAAACAGCTTAAATATATATGTTTTCAGTAGCTTACAATTTGGTTTTCCTCATAGCAATGAATATGAGAATTAATTCAACCCAAATTACTTTCTAGTGGAACTGACACAATCTCAAAAGCCTTGTATATAGACACAGTAACACACTGGTGCATTATGGGTACAGGCAACACTATCATTGCAATGGAAAAGCACACAGAGACCTGGAGCTATACAAACACTGTACAGTGGAATGGTCAGCAGTCATGGTGAGTATGTGGTTTCTATGGAGAATATCATGGTACATAAAATAGTTTTTATACAGATTGTGACCTTTTCCCCTCGTCACAAGTACAAGGTTCACAATTTGATTATTTTTTCACTTTTTTATGGATTATTTTTTTATGGCCAGTTTGTTCGGGTCAAAAGCCATAATATTTTTTAACCTAATTTCAAGGTTTCTTTTCTAAATAAAACAATATATGTGTCCTTACTTCTTGTCTTTAATCCAGTCACTTAAAAACAAATGATCTGACAAAAGAAATTATACTTAGTCTTTGCTTATTATATTTCCTGTTTTCAATTTTGGGTCGAATCTGTAACCGTAAATTTGAAAAAGATTTGGCTTAGATCCACCTTTATTCAGATAAAATGTTCATGTGTACATTTGGACTCATATTATCATAATTATTATTGCCCTTTTGATTGAACATGCATTTTAGCAAAAACATGCATGTAGATTATTGTATGCATTGAGTTGTCTCCCCTCTCTGTGTAAAAGCTTCACAGACTGTCTTCGTTTAAAGCATCTTTGAACATTTGGTGTCCTTGTACATGTTTGTTTGATATTGTTAATATGGAATGTGATTATTATAAAGCAATACAATTATGGGAATGAGTTAAAAAAGAGCGAATGAGTGAGTTGGGTTTAACGCCGCTTTTAACAGTATTCCAGTTATATCGTGGCGTGTCAGCTTAACGTGGGAGGAAAGCTTGAAGTGATGCAGGTCTCAGACGTTTACCACTTCAGTGAAACCCACGAGCACGAGTATGGTGCTGACAAACCTAGAAACATAATCGTGGCGAACTGGGATTCGAACCCACAATCATAGGTTTCTGGCATGCCCAAGGGACGCAACTCTGCACAGCGAATTGCGGCGCCTTGGACGTGCCCCCGAGTTAAATAAGAAAAAGCATTTTCCTGAAATAATTATCTCAATAATTTAACACTGACATATTGACAGCTTAGAATGGCTGGTTCATGAGACAGTAGAACATAAACATAAACACAGCTGTATTCCTAATTGAGTATGAACATTGATGAATAAATTGCAGTAACACAAACACACATCTGCATAGAGTAATTGATACCTCTTTATAAGAAGAGTTCATTTACCAAGGGTCTTCAGAGTTGTCTCCCTTTGACTGAATTGATATCATCTTGTGATAAAAATATAATTCATGATTTTCAGGATATGATATTATTCATGATATATCAACCAAGTCAGTTTTCACTTCCTTGATAAAACTTCATTGACACAATGACAACACTTCTTTGCCTCCATGGTTACACGCAGGAAAGCTTGTGTGAATAAAACATGCACCAAATAGCACGGATGTTTCATACACTGTACAAACATGGCTTAACAGAATATATAGACTCTCAAATTTTCATTAAAAACAAAAAATCATGCACAATAAATAAAACAACATATCTACACGTTATGCACAATGTCATAGTGACATACTACACAGACAAGCATGGTCATCAAGTGTGCTGTTCCTCCTGTGTTCAAAATATTAAAAAGCTTGAAAAAGATTATTCGCTTGTAATCTCCCTACGTGAGGAAACCTTGGTAAAAATATTTTTTTTGCATTATGTTTTGACACTTATACAAAGTGCATCAACAAAAACTATCCACAACATATGTATGTCTATTTCATGTGCTATCATTATTTCATAATCAAAATGATCAAAAATACTTCGGGTCTGTTTTCAAAACCCCAGTTTCATATTTAATACTGGAGTTACCTTAAAAGCTTGCCAACTTGATGTTTCAATAGCAATTGAAGTCTGACCTGGAAGGTAAAGCTATTATATCTACATATCACATTAATTAAAAACACATTTGACATTTGTGTCCAAGTGACACTAATACTACAGGTAATAATATTTAAAAACATCATGTCAACTAAATACCTCTACCTATTTGTGACAATTCTGAATAAATTTTAACAAACACCTATATTTAAGTAGCCTAGGCATTTTTTAGTCAATAGCTAAAGTAGGGCAGTCATCTGTGGTCAATAGCACAGCTAAAGTAGGGCAGGCTGTCAGTAGTCAATAGCACACTAAAGTAGGGCAGTCATCTGTAGTCAATAGCTCAGCTAAAGTACGGCAGTCATCTGTAGTCAATAGCTCAGCTAAAGTAGGGCAGTCATCGGTGGTCAATAGCTCAGCTAAAGTAGGGCAGTCGTCGGTGGTCAATAGCTCAGCTAAAGTAGGGCAGGCTGTCAGTAGTCAATAGCACACTAAAGTAGGGCAGTCATCTGTAGTCAATAGCTCAGCTAAAGTAGGGCAGTCATCTGTGGTCAATAGCTCATCTAAAGTAGGGCAGTCATCGGTGGTCAATAGCTCAGCTAAAGTAGGGCAGTCGTCGGTTGTCAATAGCTCAGCTAAAGTAGAGCAGTCATCGGTGGTCAATAGCTCAGCTAAAGTAGGGCAGTCGTCGGTGGTCAATAGCTCATCTAAAGTAGGGCATTCATCTGTAGTCAATAGCTCAGCTAAAGTAGGGCAGTCATCGGTGGTCAATAGCACCGCTAAAGTAGGGCAGTCGTTAGTGATCAATAGCACAGCTAAAGTAGGGCAGTCGTCGGTGGTCAATAGCTCAGCTAAAGTAGGGCAGTCGTCGGTGGTCAATAGGACAGCTAAAGTAGGGCAGTCGTCGGTGGTCAATAGCACAGCTAAAGTAGGGCAGTCGTCGGTGGTCAATAGCTCAGCTAAAGTTGGGCAGGCTGTCAGTAGTCAATAGCTCAGCTAAAGTAGGGCAATCTGTCAGTAGTCAATAGCTCAGCTAAAGTAGGGCAATCTGTCAGTAGTCAATAGCTCAGCTAAAGTAGGGCAATCTGTCAGTAGTCAATAGCTCAGCTAAAGTAGGGCAATCTGTCAGTAGTCAATAGCTCAGCTAAAGCAGGTCAATCTGTCAGTAGTCAATAGCTCAGCTAAAGTAGGGCAGTCTGTCAGTAGTCAATAGCTCAGCTAAAGTAGGGCAATCTGTCAGTAGTCAATAGCTCAGCTAAAGTAGGGCAATCTGTCAGTAGTCAATAGCTCAGCTAAAGCAGGTCAATCTGTCAGTAGTCAATAGCTCAGCTAAAGTAGGGCAGTCTGTCAGTAGTCAATAGCAAAGCTAAAGTAGGGAAGGCTGTCAGTAGTCAATAGCTCAGCTAAAGCAGGACAGGCTGTCAGTATTCAATAGCTGAGCTAAAGTAGGGCAGGCTGTCAGTAGTCAATAGCACAGCCAAAGTAGGGCAGTCATCGGTGGTCAAAAGCTCAGCTAAAGTTGGGCAGGCTGTCAGTAGTCAATAGCACAGCTAAAGTAGGGTAGTCTTCGGTGGTCAATAGCACAGCTAAAGTAGGGCAGGCTGTCATTGATTGATTTTACTTGTTACCAAGGAAACGATCATGAAATTGAGACTGATTATTTTCCTTCTATTCAAATGAATGTCATTGAATTTGTTGGTAAAACAGTAACAAAGTAGACAAAACATCCCAAGTTGGATATTAGGGCAGGCAGTCTACTGCAATGCATCCTCGTTGTCCTGAGGAGTTCAGTCCAACATTATCTATGAGGCAAGCAAACCAGTGGCTGATAGAGATATGACGGCTTCTTGTCATGGTGCATTGATATCAGTCTGGCAGAAGACCACGTTACACTAATGCTCCCCAGGCATTGTGATCAACTAATCCTCATTCCTGTCATCTCAAGGAGAAACAAGTGCAACGGTACAGGAATTATCAAACATATAGTAAATGTACATTCAACAAATGTTACTACCAATAAAGAGTGAGTGAGTATTGTTTTATGCCGCTTCAAGCAATATTCAAGCTATATCACGGCAGGGGAACCAAGAAATGGGCCTCATACACTGTACCCATGTGGGAAATCGAACCCGGGTCTTAGGCATGATGAGTTAACACTTCAACCACTAGGCTAGACCACCAATGTCTACCAATAAACATGTCCACTGGTCTGTACTAGAACACAGAACCTTTCTAAGGTAGATATTGTGAAAACTGTATAGTTTAAGCAGGTACTCTTCAAATGATACACATGGAGGGTTAAAGCACTGGTTAAATCAATGGGAGTGTGTACGGTAATCTGGTTGGAAGAAAAACACAGTTAAATATGATTGGATCCTGAACATCTTTCGGACTGTTCACTGCACATGGAGTATGTTTTATGTTAACCAGATGAATTAGATATTTAAATTCACTTCACTGTTTACAGATATTGCTTTCAGGTATTGCAGAAGAATATGACGTCATCAATTGTATCATGTCATTGCCTTCCAGAGTGACATCACAACTGTCACATTGCTGAGGAGTGACGTCATGTCTGTTTCACAACAGCAGCAGATAAGGAAAATTACTGATAACATTTGTATTTTATGATATCTATTAAACATGTGTTTTCAGATGTGTTATTAACAGGAATGAGAATCAATATTCTTCAGCTGAAACTTCTCTTCAATGGAGCTTGGTCCATAATTTGGGGGGTTTATGGGGGACACTAAAATTCACGGAAATTCATGGATCTGCGGAAGATTCTCAACTGTATTAAGAATTCGAAGCACTGAAATCTTAACATTAGAAATCACCGGCTAACTTAACAAGAAAAGAAACAGCTGATATTTCCAAAATGTAAGGGATTTACATAAAAAAAACACAGTATGAACATATGTCAGTCTAGAATAAACAGTACGACAAACCTCTCCCCATTCTGATCTCCACAACCAAGGAAACATACATCATCACGCATTAAGTTGGGTTTAACACCGCTTTTAACAGTATTCCAGTTATATCACAGCGTGTCAGCTTAATGTGGGAGGAAAGCCCAAAGTGATGCAGGGCTCAGACGTTTACCACTTCGGTGAAACCCACGAGCACGGGTATGGTGCTGACAAACCTAAAACATAATCGGGGCGAACTGGGATTCGAACCCACAATCATAGGTTTCTGGCGTGCCCAAGGGACGCAACTCTGCGCAGCGAATTGCGGCGCCTTAGACGACTGGGCCGCCCGTGCCCCCCTCATCACACATTAAAATAACGGTAGGAACAGGCATACAGGTCTACTGCTGTCATTGCACCGAGCACTGCACTTGGATTAAGCCCGTCTCCAATTTCCCAATTTACAGTATTACAGCAGGCCATTAACATCATATGTTATGAATACTTACAAAACATGAAATAAGCTTTCATTTAGGATACACAAAATAATTTGTTAAATTTTAATTCAAATTAATTTATGAAAGGTGGGTCTAGAGGAATTAAATTTGATGATGGAGACAGACAGTGTTGACAAATAGCCATCATAGCTGATACAAGTTTTGAGTGAGTGAGTGTGTTTATTTTAAGGCTGCTTAGTACACAACAGTTCTATCACGGCGTGTCAGCTTGATGTGGGAGGAAAGCTCGAAATGATGCAGCTTTTAGACATTTACCACTGTGGTGAAACCCTCGATCACAGAAATGGTGATGAGAAGCCTAGAAATATAATCAGAATGAATCTAGGATTCGGACCAACGATCATAGGTTCCTGGCATTCCTAAGGGACGCAACTCATCTGCGGACTGTGAGTGTCGATGTTCAGAAGATGACTGTCCAATGTATAAAGAAATACAAAAGAGAATGGCTACATAGATCTATGAAAGGATAGCTTATCTGTACCCTAAGATAACAGGAAATTATTTAGCAACATAGCAAACACAACATATTTTGTTTGTTGTTTTACAACACAGTAAGCATTATTTCAGCTATATGAATGAATAAAAACTATCTTAAAAATTAAATATTACAATGACCAATGAGTATGGGCCACGCAAGCCAGTGACTGAATAATAATAAATAAAAGCAACAAAACCCTTTCCATATTGATAATTCATAAGAAATCTCTTCCATAAACTGAGTCAAATAATGATGATACCAGGTGTTTGCAAAAAGGTAAGCATATCCTGCCCTACCAGTGGCACCTTCACAAATACATGCAAAGGCAAGTCAATTGTTCAAGAATGAGAACTGTGCCACCCAGTCAGGGCTGATGACACACATATTACATTAAGCATCTGCTCCAAGTACACCCCTACTGACACACAGGTTTGCTGGGGACTTACTCTCCCTGGGTCTACAGAGTACAAACACTTCATAATCAAACAGGGGGCACGGGTGGCCCAGTCGTCTAAGGCGCAGTGATTCGCTATGCAGAGTTGCGTCCCTTGGGCAAGCCAGAAACCTATGATTGTGGGCTCGAATCCCAGTTCGCCCCGATTATGTTTCTAGGTTTGTCAGCACCATACCCGTGCTCGTGGGTTTCACCGAAGTGGTAAACGTCTTAGACCTGCATCACTTTGGGCTTTCCTCCCACATTAAGCTGACACGCCGTGATATAACTGGAATACTGTTAAAAGCGGTGTTAGACCAAACTCACTCACTCACTCACTCATGATGAAACCTATCACTCAGTAGCTAATGTTGTATCTACAAAGTAGGGCTAGGACGAGTCCAAAGTCACTACCCGGGTACCTACCACCCTATTACCCGACCCTACCCGGGTACCCGCTGTTGATATTGAGAGATAGGTACAAACTGTCCGATTTGGAAAGGTTTGACCGTAGCCCTGGCAAAATGTTTTTAGATACGTGTGTAAAACGATCTGGTCATGCATACACTGAAGTATACTGCATGGAGTTTTATCTTTATTCAAACACATAAAAGTCAGAAGGAATGGATGCATTGTCCGAAAGAAATGGGATCTTATAGTGTAACCATGGAGTTTTAGATAATTTTTGTCATTACACAATATATCCCGTGACTAACCACGAGTCCGGGTAGTTCTGTGGGTACCCAGGTCCTTCTCAGTACCCAACCGACCCGAGTACCCAAGTTACCCATCCCAGCCCTACTATAAAACATTTGTATTGAAAATGGCAGTAAACAATTTGCAATTATTCAATATGTTCCCTAATGTTTTTCATCAGCATGTCAACTGAAAATTGTCACATGAATCGATACACTCATTACTAGAGAGTATACAATACAGAGTATGATGGCCACTATTTCAAAAACGACATATAGTTTAATTTTGTCAATGCTGTGTTAAAGTCATATCTTGTAAAAGTTATTTAAAAAAATTCATAACCTGATACATGTTTTCTATTAAAATATTCCAAAATATGTTTATGCACATTTACAAATATCTTTAAGGTGTTGTTATTTAAACTGTAGTGGTATTCTCATGCTGTGTTAATGTCGATACAACCCTACTTCCTCCAGCTGTATAAAGCAGAAAAACAAAGCAATGCCTTCTTGGAAAATAGGTCTCCTTAGGCGTAGGAAGCTGGTTCATTAATGTGTTACCCTTAATGTGTTACCCTTAAAGTGTAACCTGTTTGTCACAATGCTTATTTATTTTCTTTAACACATTTTAATATGAAAGCAATTACATACCTCAGGGTTTTCTGACACACAATGTCTAATAACAATATATTCTACTTTATCTGTTCAGTGAGTTGGGTTAAACATCACTTTGAACAGTATTCCAGTTATATCTCAGTGTGTCAGCTTAATTTGGGAGGAAAGCCTGAAGTGATGCAGGTCTCAGACGTTTACCACTTTGGTGAAACCAACGAGCATTGGTAGGGTGCTGACAAACCTAGAAACATCATCAGGGCGAACTGGGATTCAACCCCACAATCATAGATTTGTGGCATGTCCAAGGGATGCAACTCTGCACAGTGAATTGCGGTGCCTTAGACAACTGAGCCAACCGTGCGCCCTTATCTAAGGAATGTTCACATAATCATAAATATACATTCTTTGAAGACAGTGTTGTTCCCGCAACACAATAAAGATGGCAACATAACTTCAACAGGTGAGCTCAAAACTATCCATTCACCCAAATGTTTGCTTTTCTAAAAATATTTCAAACATCTTTGACAAAATAATCTAATCTACTTTTGATATCTTGTTATCAACAAATTTACAAATTATGAATTATCAGTGTCTACAAATAAATCTAAATAAGAACTAGGGGCTGATATTTTCATATCAATGTTTCAAACTCATCGGTCAATATCAGCCTTACTCCTTTCATTCGGAACAAAATGTTGAAGACCAAAGTAACCCTTGCATACCTCCTAATGACATGATATGCTGACATGAGTATATTAAACCTTCTCGTTTAACAAATAATCACAAATAATAAACCATCTGGATATTAGTACATGAAACGATATCATGGGAAAGACAATGGTTTCCTAAATGGAGCAATCAGTACAGGTGTTGGTGTCAAGTCGCCTTGCTTGACCTTGAACCTGCTCCCCCTCCCCCTCCCCCTCCTCCTCCTCCTCCCGCTCCCGCTCCCCCTCCTCCGCAGCACTTCCCCTTCTTCCTCGGCTCTTCTTTGCGACGAAGGTTGACCGTGCTCCCGTAGCGTTGATTGTTGAATTCCTCGGGGGGAAGCTCCTTAGCTGGGAACAACAGATAGAAAAGGCAATTATACAAGTTAAAGACATTATAATGTGGTTTCTGGAAAACTTAACAGAAACATGGCAATTGGTGTAAGCATAAAATTACATTAACATTGACAGATATTATTAGCCTCTGGTTCAGTATGCACTCAATTTTCATTCTCAGCTCCCTGGGGATCATACAACCCAAGCAGCCTGGGAGGTGCTAGAAGGTGAACAGTCACATTACCATCTCCTTCTTTTGGGAGAACAGAGGCATACAGTAAACTACGTTTATAACGAACACGCTTATAACAAACTGACGAATATAACAAACTTTTTTTGTTGTCCTGACCATGTGCTGTATATATGCTGCAAATATGCTTATTACGAACTATGGTTATAACGAACTAAAATTAGTTGGGTGAACAGAGGCACAATTAGCAAGGGTGCTAACAAGTGTACCAGCCTGCCTGTGTTACACACAATAACACAATCAGGATGCCTCACGTTGTGCCTTGTTCCAAACATATCATTCTGGTGGACATCATCCGCTAGCAAGGGCACTAACAAGTGTACCAGCCTGCCTGTGTTAAACACAATAACAGAATCCCCATGGGCATGATAGGGTCCTGCCAGACTTACATATGGCATCAAAGAGTTGTGGTACGTTTACGGCTGTCAGGGCGCTTGTTTCACAAAAAATGGCATTAATGTCTCGGGCGTAGTCTTGAGCATCTGCAAAACACAATATTCATAATAATCCATGAAGAAAAATTCTCACATAAATTTCAACAAAAATGTTTTGGAACATGTTCTTCTAAAACTAAGGCTAAAAAAATAATAGTTTTGGTTCTCAGGCACCACCCGTCTTATCATAAAGTCTGCCGCATGTTTCGTATATATTTCCATTTTTAAAAAAGAAAAATCATTAAATATTACTCGTCTCGAACACACAACCGAGGCAGTTAAATGCTACAATACTTAAGAACATGATTTCCCCAAAATTTTGTTACATACTAGCTTGAACAACCAAAACAAAAAACACTGCCCGCCCACGCAATCATTTCAAAAGCCATTGCCTGAGAACCAGTTATATTATTTTGTTAAGACTAATACACTGTTTTGATGTAATCTTTGTCCTTGGCATGTAAGTTGGGATGTATCGAGTCTGCATGACAGGAACTAAACAGGTGCAAAAAATAATTCTATAGAATGAAGTAATGAAAGTTCTCTATTTGATTGCTTTTATTTAATTCTTGGAATGTTGTTGCAGATGCACACTTCCTCTTTGAAGATTAAAAGTTGGACCTGGAACAAATGGACTTAAGAATTCATATTCCTCTCATTCTAGCATGTCTAGGGTGATGACCATGACATAAGGTCTGATTTCATTACCTTGAAACTAACGGCAGTAACAGACTACGGCATGGAATGTTTGGAATAATAAGTTGATCAGCTGGTCTTTTTCAAATTATAGGAAACATTCAAGCCAAGGAAGGATGCATACATTAAATATTCGAAACGATTTAGACTTTCAACATGTTCAAGACATGGACAACTGTTGATTGATCATTCACATGAAATATGTATATGTTAGACAACAAGGACCCAGTGTCTAATCGTTGACAGCGCCGAGTGGTTTGATTAACCATTTCAATGATTAAACACTGGGGTCCGAGTGGTCTAACATACTTAAACCATGTCCAACATTTATAGCACCTAAAATGCTCAAAAAACATTGTTTCGTTAAATTTATTTAGAAAAATATCCAGGAACTCTATGCTCAACTGTGAGAACACTGTGTGAGTCGGCCCTGCATGAAGCAGGGGTAATGTGTTCCCCGAGCCTTTCGCACGTGCACCTTGCACTTTGCCGATTTGGGTTATGAAATGCATGTCCTGGGGCAAGTATACCATTCATTTTGGACCAACTTGAGCACATTTAGCAATCACCTAAATATTACTTGCCCATGTTGATGGGCTTATTATGAGCAAACATAGTCCTGATCAAGATAATAGTAATTTCTTTTCTATCTGTTGAACGAAAAGTTTCCAAACCGCAAGTACTGTACAAATACTAGAATGCATAGAGTAACAGACTGTAAAAAAATTACATAAAACATATTTCACAGGTCATAAACGGATAAGCAACTAGTACTGATGTAAGTAAATATTTATTTGTTTATTTCATACAATTTCTCCCAAGTCGCCATGGCAGAAGTCTACATTCGTTAGCCTTCGAATCCCACTGGCGACAAACGTTTTTCATGAAATTGTTCTATCATGAAGATAAATGATACGGAAAAAATGAAGTTCCGTCATTGTCAAGTGGTGTTTAACTAAAAATTCAGTTAGGTAAACCACAGTCAAAGACAAAAGAAGCCATGGTTTAAGCTGGGTATAACATCTGTACGTTGTATTTCATGAGATAAATATAAAACGTCAAGGACAGAGAATACCCAATAGCGCATCCCAGATCGCAGTCAGATTCATTCCTTAGAACACTCATAATTCAAGCGAGGTATGCAAAATCAGGTGGAAGTTTAAATTACTTGTTATCATAAATCAGTATTGCTTCGTTCAGGGACATTCACAAGCATGTTGGTTTTTGGTGTTTAAATAATTAAAAAAATTGATGTGCAGTCAGGGTGTAATTCAAGTCATGTTGTTTATTATCAAGGCCTTTTTAAAACGAATGCTAAAATTCAAGCTTTTTCAAACCCTGTGCCATCCTGACAGAAAGAAAGGAGTGAGTGAGTGAGTTGGGTTTAATGCCGCTTTTAACAGTATTCCAGTTATATCACGGCGTGTCAGCTTAATGTGGGAGGAAAGCCCGAAGTGATGCGAGTCTCAGACGTTTACCACTTCTGTGAAACCCACAAGCACGGGTATGGTGCTGGCAAACCTAGAAACATAACCAGGGCAAACTGGGATTTGAAGCCACAATCGTAGGTTTCTGGCGTGCCCAAGGGAAGCAACTCTGCACGGCGAATCGCAGCGCCTTAGGCGACTGGGCCACTCATGCCCCCCAGAAAGAACAGAATTCACATAGCGAACATCTTCATCTGTAGGTGCTTGAGGAGTGAGTGAGTGAGTGAGTGAGTTGGGTTTAACACCGCTTTTAACATTATTCCAGCTATATCATGGCGTGTCAGCTTAATGTGGGAGGAAAGCCCGAAGTGAGGCAGGTCTTAGACGTTTACCACTTCGGTGAAACCCACAAGCACGGGTATGATGCTGACAAACCTAGAAACATAACCGGGGCAAACTGGGATTCAAACCCACAATCATAGGTTTCTGGCGTGCCCAAGGGACGCAACTCCGCACAGCGAATCGTGGCGCCTCAGACGACTGGGCCACCCGTGCCCCCAGGTGCTTGAGGGTGATACAATGATGTGAGGTGTTTGGAAGCAAGGCAGGCCTAACAAACCCCAAATAGAATTGTTTTCTTTGAAATGCATCGAGATATGGTGACATAAAGCACTCACCTTTTTTCCTAACTTCCCTGAGATCATCCAAGTCACATTTGTTGCCCGCTATTGCTATGACGATATTCGGTGATCCTTGCCTTCTCAACTCTTGGACCCAGCTTTTTACTGATCTAAACGTGGACTGAAATAAACAGCCGACACGTTAAACCTCTGTACCAATCATGAAAATACTGCCGCCTCTCCAACACACGACCCCAGCGGTTAAATGCTACAATACTTAAGAACAACATGATTTCCTAGAAATTATTGTAGACAAAATTTGGTCCCATACTTGAACAGCAGCCACCCACCCCTCCCCCCAAAAAACACCGCCCACCTGCACAATTATTTCAAAAGCCATTTTTTAAAGCCTGATACACTGTTTTTTATGTATTTTAATAATTCAGAAGTTTGATGTGCCGTAAAATTTTGAACAAAGGCACAAATTTTTCCCCATTTTGCAGGCCATGGGCACTAAGTTTGGAAACAGAGATAACTCCCTAGTTTGTCAGCCTTCAGTTGAAACTAGGAAAACGTTGTTGCCATGGAAAAGACAGAAATACAAAAATTAATGTGTTTCACAAAGAGGGACTTCGCACTGACAGAATTGATGCTTGTTAGGGTCTGTGCACACACTCCACTGGTTAACGTCATCTATCAGCAGAAAACCTGTAAGCCATTGAACCATGTCTAAGTACCCCATACTTCTTGAAGGAACATTCTCATTTGGATTTGATGATTACTGTGTGTGACGTGGTCGAAAGCATGTCACTGTGACCTGAGCGATTGTTGCTCATACCGTCAACCAGTGGTTGCCTGGCCAAGATCTGGCTCTTATTAGAATATTATTTTGGTGGAAAAAAAAAACAGAGTTGAAAGATAAATTTTGTGGTTTATGCTGACAGCCTGAAATGTTTACATATGAGAGATATATTTTTCCAGAATTTAATTGCCCATAATTATGGGTGCATATATACACGAATAAATAAGTATTGTGTACATTGATCAATCGGAAAGGGTGCTAATTGGGATTGTTCACTAGCCAATATAATAGCAAATATCGGCGTGGGCGCTTATTACGTCGAATACGGTATTTACAGGCTTTTGTAATACAGCATACACCATCATTCATTCACTTACCTCTCGTGTGACATCATAGACTATAATGGCGGCAGCGGCACCCCTGTAGTACATTGGGGCCAAGGCTCGATACTGAAACACAAGTTGACCTGTGTTGAAGGGGCTGATCGTAAGTAGGGATGGTAATGGCAGAAATTACTTATTGCAATAGTCTGCAATACAACAATCTGCATTGCGATATGAATTGCAATATATTACAACTTCTACTTTGTGATGATTCCGACCCAAACATTTGACTTGAACATTGCATATTATACAGACTGCAGTGTTACTATCGACTATCCAACGTTCTCAAGCTTTCAATAGTCAAAATGTTTCCAAATAGCTGCCTTACATCTGTCATTCGGCAGAGCCTCAAAATCAGATTGGACTTGTTAAAATTGTAAATGATTTTCAATCATTCTGAATGTAACATACAACCTTAAATGGAAACTCCCTAAGTGATCTGACTAAAACCGGTTCGGGGTGATCATATCGCATTTTTACATGCATTTTGTCTTGCAGTTTACCTCTAAACCAGCAAAACCACTCAACCCTAACAATAAGCTACAGAGAACTACCATATGTTGTATAGGAGAGTGTTCATTCAAATGTTTCGGTCCTGTATCACAGAGACAAGATATCATCCATAGGTGCGACATATTACTAATATTTAACAGTAAAAGGATCGTCCATTATTTTTAAACCGCTCCAAAAGCCTTGGTTATAATGAACACGCTCATAACAAACTGTCTTTTTGTTCCACCCATTTGCTGCATATATGCTGTATATATCCTTGTAACGAACTACGATTATAACAAACAAAAATTATTAGTCCATTTGAGTGCATAATAACCATAGTTTACTGTACAAGAGTACCCTTCCCACAAACTAATGTGATTTTTAGGTCCAACCGGTAACTCTTCCTAATTTGGTGGTATTTATTTAGAAGAATTGCAAAATACTTGTCAATAATGTGTGTTTTTAAAAAAAAATTATTGCCCGTCATGATTCACATGATACCCTGTTATAATTCATTCCTATATCAAGTATAACAGTTTGTATGAGTAAGCCTAAATACACTTAAAATGTATTCGCCTTATCATAATTTATGCATATATACACACAGTGTTCAAAGCTAGTTTGATAGTACAGCTTGCAGCTGGACAATGAACACTGTTAAATGAGCTATTTCCATTTAATTATCATGTTTATTATCATGATAATATCAGTTGATATAAGAGTGACATTTTAGGACAAACTAAGAGTACCGGTGTGAAGAGGTTTCCAGCATTGCTCCATCTTTCAGTGTCTCCTTACGTTTTGGAGTAGGATAGTGGTTGAAGCAACGGCCCAAAACCTGAGTAGTTTCAAGCATTGCTCCATCTTTCAGTGTCTCCTTACGTTTTGGAGTAGGATAGTGGTTAAAACAACGGCCCAAAACCTGAGTAGTTTCAAGCATTGCTCCATCTTTCAGTGTCTCCTTACGTTTTGGAGTAGGATAGTGGTTAAAACAACGGCCCAAAACCTGAGTAGTTTCAAGCATTGCTCCATCTTTCAGTGTCTCCTTATGTTTTGGAGTAGGATTGTGGTTGAAGCAACGGCCCAAAACCTGAGTAGTTTCAAGCATTGCTCCATCTTTCAGTGTCTCCTTACGTTTTGGAGTAGGATAGTGGTTAAAACAACGGCCCAAAACCTGAGTAGTTTCAAGCATTGCTCCATCTTTCAGTGTCTCCTTATGTTTTTGAGTAGGATAGTGGTTAAAACAACGGCCCAAAACCTGAGTAGTTGCAAGCATTGCACCATCTTTCAGTGTCTCCTTACGTTTTTGAGTAGGATAGTGGTTGAAGCAATGGCCCAAAACCTGAGTACAACGTGAGAAGCCTGTCCTTGGGGTCAATACCATTATGTGATTGGAATAAAGCTTGAATAGTATAATGTATTAAACCCAACTCCCTCACTCACTCCAGCTTACCTTCTCCTGGCCTGCTGTGTCCCATATCTGATACTTGTATGTATTGCCATCCACCAACAGTGTTTTGGTCATGAATGATGCACTGAAAGTATTCACAACATATATTTACTGGAACACCCAATCTTTTGATACTTATACAGTGATCCCTTGCTATAACGCTACCTTCGGGGTCCAAATAATTGATGACGTTATAGATGATACGAAGGTTGAGTCGTAGGTGGTAGATGACCAACAAAACAGTACACATGCTCTGCCTCCCTAACACGATATCGATCTACGTTGCACGTTTCAAAGTTTCAAAAAAGATTAGAATAGAAGTTATTTATGATTTGTAGTGTAAAAAAAGATTTATCGAGTATTTTGGAGTGGTCCAAATTCAAATATATTTATCTTTTTGCAACCATCACGGACCAGGGCTACAGGACAAGGTATTATACGGAGTGGTGGGACGAAACACTAATGCATTGCTGGATCGCATTTTTTTTACTTCTTGATACAAGTATCAATCACAGTCGCACACTACGTAAAAAATATTGATTCTTACTCTCAGTGTTTGCTGTCATAACTGTTGCACTAAATACTATTTAGAAATGAGAACATAAATATTTTTGTCCATTGCGCCATACTTGACACTGCCAACTGTAAATCGTCAGTGTACCAGGTATTTGGTCATCCTGTCTATGAAACAAATGGCTTAGGGACCACAGATGAAACTACATACTATGTATCGGATCGTGAGCAAGGTATCATGATACGTATCGGATCGTGAGCAAGGTATCATGATACGCATCGGATCGTGAGCAATTTATTATGATATGTATCGGATCGTGAGCAAGGTATCATGATATGAATCGGATCGCAGAGTTGGTGAATCGTCCCAGCCCTAATAATATGGCTAATTTGGGGCCTACCGTATATGTCCACAGATAAGCCGAATTTTGAGGACCAGAAAAATGATTCTGTAGAAAGGGGTCGGCTTATTCACGGGATACACTTTCATGATAGTATTTTTCAGATCGTGATCTGTCAGGAACATCGCCTGAATGACGGTACTTGATTTCCTGTTTGGGGTTGAGTCCAATGTTAGGAATAGGTTGTTAGTTTTAATTAAGGGAATATTGGGAACAGCCTTTAGTTTAAACAGGGTGTGGCACTGTATATATTCTCAAAGATTGTTTTTGATATTCATACCAAATATATGAATTATTATGGCAGGTATTGAAACACTCGGGCACAGTGATGACTTAGCATTAAACTACCACAAGCTAATTGCATTTCACATGACTAGAGTTTTGTTTGTAAACGAACATGCTTATTTTGAAATTAAAGCATCCTGGCCTAATGCAAGCCTTTCAGTGTATTGTACATATTGTTTTGCATAATTATATATGCCAGTACTACCACAGTGAGAAGCATGACAACATATCTCTACACAACCAACTGACCGTATTCAGAGCTACAGCGTATTTGCGTAAAATACCCCCAAAAAGATTCAAAACCCCATTACAGTAACCTTGGGTTATAACGAACACGCTTATAACGAACTGACTGACATAACAAACTTATTTTTTAGTCCCGGACATTTGTTGTATATATGCTTTATATATGCTTTATAACGAACTATGGTTATAACGAACTAAAATAAGTGGCCCCTTTGAGCTCGTTATAACCGTAGTTTACTGTACTTTCAATTACCTTGCGTACAGAAATGCATGCATCAAAAGAAACAATCAAATGTATAAAAACAGCTCGCGTAATACCCAATAAACCTTTTTCAGCATGCGTACAAAGGAGCTAATTTCCGAAACCCAATTACCGCTTATTTACTGCCTATATATTTAGAAGAGTTTATATACATCTAAAACATTATTTCATTTTTTTTTAAATCTTAAAATGTTCACTTATTTTGGGTGACCTCAATAGAGTGATGAATAGATGAGTGAAAAAATATTGGTTACCCAATGAAAAATGTAATAACCCAATTAAAATAGAAACCCTAGAGTAAAAACTCAATTGCTCCAGTTATCTGGAGCTCTGATATCACTACCTCTCAATTGGGCTTCAATAACAGCACATGGAGCTGTACAACCAATCACAGGCAATATGAACAAAAGGTAAATACGCAAATGGAAATCTGATAAGCCAAATGTGGACATTTATAAAAAATGAAACAGATGAAAAGCATATGTAATTTCTTGATTAGACTGTGTAAGAAGAGACTAACCATCACATCTTGCTGGCCTGTGGTAGAGGTACCAGTTTGAGCGTGCAGAACTCAGGGTAAGAGAGTGGCATTGAAAATATGTGCACACCTAGTTCAAAGCCATGGTTAAGTGGCCCCTAAAATGACTTCGTTCTGAACTGCACATCAATATTATCATGATTATCATGATTATGACGTCACATCTGGAGAAGTCATAGTCCCCAAATTTCAAGAATTGTGTTGTCACTAAACATTGAACTACACTCTCCTAGTCTATTTCAGTCATGTTTTCTGTCTTAAATGAATTGTCACAAACACTTTGAATATTAGTCTCTAGTATATACATGTTCCAGTCTAAAGTCTGTGTCTATTAAAATCTCTTTCATGGTAAGCTCAGGTAATAAGGTCCATTTATAATGGCTATTATAAGGGTAACGCTATTTTTCAGGGCATTATCATTTGCAGAAGCCAGAGGTCTTCCAGTAACTGCCCGACGAAGGAGGGCAGTTGAAAAGACCAAGGGCTTCTGCAAATGATAATGCCCTGAAAAATAGCGTTACCGTTATTATAGCTAAAATGGATGGAATTTGTTATCAAATAAAAAGAAACAACAATATCGGTTTTAAATCATTTACTGCAATCAACACGAATTTCACTAACCAACTTTTACAAATATGGAAACGTCATAGGACAAACCAGATGACATCAGTATTGAACGTGACGTCACCTATCCCTATCCTATGACGTCACCTAACAACGGGCGTGATAATGGCCCGTCGTCAAGCAATATGAGGGCATTATCAAGTTACAGTGGCCCGCTGATTTCTGATAACATGCAGGCGGTTTAATGTTAATTCTATCCATTTTAGCTATAATAACACTATAATGTATTGACTCAGGGTTTTACAAGACATAGATATGTTTGTCCACTACGCACAAATGTCTAGAATGGACACAGAAAAAAATATATGGCATCTTGAGGGCCACACAAGTCACTGCAAATTGTAAACAAGAAATATACCGTATTCGATGTAAAAAGCGCCCAGGGCGCTCTCAAAATTACAAATGGTGGGCTCTTATTAGAATATTATTTTGGTGGGAAAAGAGTTGAAAGATAAATTTTTTGGGTTTAAGCTGACAGCTTTACATATGAGAGATATATTTTTCCAGAATTTAATTGTCCATAATTAAGGGTGCATATAACACAGGAGTGTGTATTATACGCGAATAAATAAGTCTTGTGTACATTGATCAATGGGAAGGGGTGCTAATTGGGATTGTGCATTAGCCAATATTTAGGAAATATCGCTGTGGGGCGCTTATAACGTCAAATATGGTAAGCTTCCTGAAATAAAAGTACTTCATAAATCATATCACTACACCATTTCATTACTTTACAGGACCCTCATGTTTCCTGAAAAGACTATTGAAATTAGCAATAGGGCATCTCCTGGGTTTTGCAGGTCAAGGTAAAACCCTATTGACAGAATATGGTAAGCTGAACTAATAACATGAATAAATGTCCATATACATTTACATATATAATTATGGCAATTAACACTAGAATCTACTTAACTGATGAGAAGAGAAAAATGTTGATTAATAGACTCAACAGATTTTTGCAGACTGATAACTTGAGGCTGACCCAACTCACCCTATAGTGCTTTCCAAGGCATTTTTGAATTGGTTGTTGACAAACCTCATGACAATACTTGATTTGCCCACACCAGAGTCCTGAAACAAAATATAAATGAACATTCGGTACATCACCACACCATTTAAACAAGAGATCATGTACTGATATAGAAGCATTAGACGTATATCAAGTATAGAAAAGAGTGATGTGTAACATTTAATGAAAATTAATTCTAAATTACTATTTTCTGCCAGTATGCATGGCATGTAAATGATGAACAAGAGGTTTCAAATGTCTTTTTCATAAGTTAACTCAAATCTATTAAATATGCCAAATATGTTTCAGTTGCTCTTCAATTAATTCACTTTGATACTGTAAAAAATCTCTTAGCATTGTAGTGAGTGAGTCAGTTGTGTTTAACACCGCTTTTAACAGTATTCCAGTTATATCACGGCGTGTCAGCTTAATGTTGGGAGGAAAGCCCAAAGTGATGTAGGTCTTAAGACGTTTATCACTTCGGTGAAACCCAAGAGCATGGGTATGGTGCTGACAAACCTGGAAACATAATCGGGGCGAACCGGGATTCGAACCCACAATCAGCAAATTGCGGTGCCTAAGACAATTGGGCCACCCGTTCCCCCTCTTAGCATTGCAAGTGGTCATGTATCGCATCATGCATTGTGACCTTACTATCAAGTAACGTTGTGCAATATAACTGTTATATCGCTATATGACCTAGAGCAATACACGTTTCGCAATACAACCCTTGCGTACTGATATTTTCCTGTACAGTCACAGAATAATGAATACATAGTCTTATAAATTATATCTACAATCTTGAGGAATTTGGATGGACTGTGCTCCTATCTAAACCATGTAAACCATGCTATCTATATTGTGAAATGTTGTAATATGATTTATATGCCAATGCGCCAACCCTACTTTTAAGATTTGTATCATGACGAAGAGTATCAACACAGTCAAATTACATGCATCAAAGATGTATACAGAATAGTATATACGTCTTTGCATGTCTTAATCAATGATAAATTCTCTTCAAGTACAATCACCACTAGTTGAATAAAGTATCCAGAAATATAATCACAATCATAACATTATGCTTCAGACAAAGTTAATTTCATTTTGTTTATTTCCCAAATTATTTCTTTCGAAAACAAACATCACCAGTAGCGGTGATGTTATTCACACGGAAGGTCTGCAATGCTTAACACAGAAAAATTTAGTCAATAGGGTGTAACTTACTTCCTGCTGCTGTTGCCATTCAAAAGAAATAAATGAAAAAGCAAGCCTATTTTGAACAACTGAGACAAGGGAGCCTTTCACCATGTTACAAAGAAGCTTTATGTAGTCAAAAACAGGAAGTTTCCTGGTTCAGTACCGGTAGTATTGGCTATTACCATGATTTCAAAGCAAATACAGTGATAGTTTTCATGGGTACTGAGTTACAGCCTAACGAATAATATACTTTTAATTTCATAAATAGATCGACATCTCATATATATATCTAATGAACAGTTATTGAAATACAACTTTCATCAAGAATGATAATACGTATCATCACCATCAACCAATTCATTCTTATTTAAAATACTAGACTAGATAACCAATATCAACCATGATTAAAGGGGCACTGATCTTAAGCAATTCCCCGGGACTGGTGGTTGCCTTTGTTATTGTTTTTTCCCCGTGAGTACCCGGATGATACGCATCACAACTGAGCGTGACCAGAGACTGGGCTACCGTCTGCAAGGACAACTGAATAAACTTGGTGGCAATATTTGTTTAACTCATTTTTAAACACTGATTGGTTAATCGTGATCTATAAAGATTTCGACAAAGAGCGCATGTTAATTAATTTCTTCAGCCTAAACAAACAGACAAAAAGAAGCTCATCGGATGTCGTCATTTGGAAATAGTTATATGATTATTATAGTTTAATAATAAAAGAGTATCCATGCAGTGAAAGCATTTTAGGATTTCGGTTTGCGTTGATAATACGATTACTACTCCCTTGTTGTCATCCACGTTTTCTGGTATAACCCTACACTTGTGTGTATTTGTTGTCATTCCCTTGATGCTCAGTAAATGAATTTATTACAGGTACAATTAGTGGTAGCACCACTTAGATTACCCGACAAAGGTTCCCATTTGGCATTTATTGTGTCTGGGGTAATTATTCAATCGAAATCCAGGTTTCAAGTGAGGTGTAATGTGTGTTATGTAATATGCATGTGGCAGCCCAGCAAGAGATGAATGATCAGTTGATTTACTTTTTTGTAAATCAACGGATCGTTCCTAGTCATCAAAGGATTAACAGAAAATACATTGATTGATTAATCACTGTTATCTTGCACGGTGGATATGTCAAAAGTGAGTGTTTACGTGTCTAGGTTTACTAAAACAAAGGGAATACACTCATATCATGGCGTGAAGTGCCGATGTAAAAACAACATACTTTGTTCAAAGGGTTAACTGATAATATGTTGATTGATTGCTCATTGTTATCTAACTCAATGGATGTTTTTAGGAACCGTGGACGTTATGAAAATAGTTGTCACATGGGTTTTCTCAGCTGACCTTTGAGACATGACACCTATGTGAAACACCTGAAACAATCTAAGTGATCAGTTGAGAAACGAAAACGGGTTATAATATCCCGAAACGATATATATATTTTAAAATATTTGATTGTTACAGGACACTGACGTCGAATATGACGTGTGGGATATTGTTCCTTTGTGTGGATATTCACGGATACATTCCTCGAACAAGGAAGCTGCCTAAAATTATACACATAAATTTGGTAGGTTGTAATTATGAAATTTGCATTTTGTTTTCTTTCATTTGCTGTAGCATTGGACAGATTCATTCCTGTTCCTCTACGTCTTGGTTGGGAAATTATTCGATGTGAGATAGACGTTGTTTTCACATGTCTTTTCCTTTGTAAGCGTGTATATATTAGAGTCAGTTTGTAAAATGTAATTCTCTCAGGCAATTTATAAAATGTGTAAATATTTCAGTCATTTTGACTAAAAAATCTGTCCATGTCTTTAACAGATTGACTAAAATTGATTAAGACGATCAAAAGGGCCTATAAACATCACAATAGATTATTATGTAGGATTAGAAGCCAAACAATATAGAAATGTACTTTTCATCGTAACATTTTCAGTCTCTTGGTGATGATATTAAACATACAAATGATTGGAATTTGTTATCATAATAATACAGATGGACATATTTTTCAGTCAATTTGTAAAATAACTGAATATTCAGGCTTTTAATAAATTTCCTGAGTGAAAATTTTGCACATTTTGACTGTAAAAAATATAAACACGATAAAATTATACAATGCTCAGGAGAAACATTTACTTTGTGTTTAAATAGTGTAAAAGAAAATTCCACAATTACCAAGCAATCCACTTATCAAAACTTCGTCACCATTACCGATGCTACCCACATAGATATCTCTATTTCCTTATTATATCCAAAACTTTATTTCATTTTGTTGATAGATGTGACCATACGCCCTTAACTATCAATAAAAGTGACAAATGTGCTTACGAATTGCGCAGCACAGATCGCGAACTAGTCTAGGTTTCTGCTATATCATCTGGATACTCACGGTGAAAAAAACATAACAAAGGCAACAACCAGTCCCGGGGAATTGCTTTAGATCAGTGCCCCTTTAAGTTTAAGATGATAAACATGATTATATTTTCCTCGTATTTCCCTACTAATCATGCAATAGGCTATTCTCATTTATTAACACCATGTGAGTCTCATGAGAAAATGTTTGTCTACAGAGGTTACGTTAATTGTTAACGGATTTACATGAATACAGAAACATGTTCCGTTTACTAGCTTGGACAGTAGTCTAGCGCTGTACTAGATCAGACGTGATCTTGAGAATATAGCTGATGATTCAAATAACTTGATTGGTCAACAACCAAATTGTTTACTCACGCCAAGAAGGCAAAGTTTGACATCTCTCAAAGACATTTTAAATCGATTCCAGTTGTTGTGACACTGAAGTAATCTATCCGGTCAGTTTCAGGAAATGCTAAAACCGACATGAGATCATCGTCCGAAAATATTGACAACTTCTGTCGCCATTTTGGACGTAAGTGTGTCACATGACACTATTTGTACTTCCGCTTTTCTTATTCCTTACCGCGAAGATTGATAATGTTGTGCACGGAGTTTTCACTAGCTCCATCACATTATGGAAAACAAGTGAAGCAGCGATTAATCAATTTCGATAGACCAAACATATATATTCTCTGAAACAGAATTAGACATAAAGGATTCTAAGTAGGAATACTGATTCTCTTAAAACAGGCCAGGGCTACTTGTGCGGGGTAGGGTGGATGATTATTTCATTCAATATATGCTCTAATGTCTCTATAGGTTTTGTTGTTTCAAGTGTGGCAGGTTTAACATAATACAAGATGTCGTAAATGTTGCAAGACATGGAAGTATGAGGACCTACTAATATTACCGTAGTCTGGACATTATAAGAGTGACAACGGGAGAAAGGTTGGTCAAAGGTTTGTCTATAAAACCTGTGGGAGTCGAGGTCGCGACGTCTGAACAGCGAAGTCGTCAAGGCGACTGAGGGCTAGTTCGGATTTTCTATCGCCATAACAGGATAGCAGTCATTTTGCGACAGTATACTTTCGAAAGAGGAAAGCGTTTCAATGTGTGTAATTTTTACCCGAGGGATTATTCCACATCTAGATTACGAAGGGGAAGAAATAAGTGTAAGTCACGGTTCGACAGGGAGTGGGCGTACAGATCATGCGCTCATGGTTTCTTTAATTACGGTAAATCTGCGTTGTTTAATTTCGTAGAGTCCCAAGGCCCGACGTTGATTCATGAAATGTTTACATCAAAACCTTATTTTTCTCGCATTCTGTAGGCCTACCTCAAACAGATTAGGTATACGGTATTATAAACATTAATTGGTAGGATTCACCGTATTTATTTACTCTTCAAATGTCAGTATAGCGTTTATTCAAGGCGGAGGGTCGTTGGTCCCGGAGTTTATTCAAGGCAGGAGTTTAAAAAATATTAAAGGATTTACGGTACTATATAGTCAAGTGCCTTGGAACTGGATTTTTTTTTTATCTATATATTATATCATTTACAATTTTGTAAAGCAGAATACTTTTAAATTTACGGCGGGGTTTGCTTTCGCATTTAGGAATTAATCCAATGTCTTCTTATTGATCAACATGGCGTGTTTCCTTAACGGCACAACATATAGTTCTCAATAGTCGAGTTAATGCATTTCCAATTTAGATGCCACGTCCTGTGTTATATTAGTCAATCATGTTAGTGAAATAGAGGTAATATGAACTACTCATTTATAGTTTCTATGTTTTCACTGTATGTCAGGCTTCTCTACTCAACTGGTCATTTTTCGTCCTTTCTAATAGAGAAATATCCGTGTTAGAACTGGCCTTCAGCAACCCATGGTTGTTGTAAGAGGCGACTTTGCTTGTCGTAAGAGGCAACTAACGGTATCATGTGGATATTGCAGAATATTATTATGGTTGTTTTTTTCTGTTCACGTGTATTCATCCATTCATTGTACGTCTTATAAAGACTTTTATTCAAAACGTTGAACGCGTTACATGAACACCTTAAATACATAACCGTTTGATAATGGATATCGCATATATAGAGGCATTTTAAAATGCACTCTTGTTCCACTGTTTGTTTGTTTGCTGTTTAACGCCGCACTCAGCAATATTCCAGCTATATGACGGCGGTCTGTAAATCATCGAGTCTGGACCAGACAATCAAGTGATTGACATCATGAGCATCGAACCACGCAATTGGGATCGACGACATGCATCAACCAAGTCAGCGAACCTGACCACCCAAACCCGTTATATATTAGTCGACTCTTACGACAAGCATAATCGCCTTTTACGGCAAGTATGGGTAAATATAGAAAAGAGAAAGTATGGGTTGCTGAAGACCTATTCTACCCCGGATGTTAGGGGAATGTGGCCAAATATGAGTAGTGAATGAGTGAGTGAGTTGGGTTTAACGCCGCTTTTAACAGTATTCCAGTTATATCGCGGCGTGTCAGCTTAATGTGGGAGGAAAGCCCGAAGTGATACAGGTCTCAGACGTTTACCACTTCGATGAAACCCACGAGCACAGGTATGGTGCTGACAAACCTTGAAACACAATCATACGTTTCTGGCGTGCCCAAGGGACGCAACTCTGCACAGCGCCCCTTAGACGACTGGGCCACCCGTGCCCCCAAATGTGAGTAAAGAAACTGAAGTTGATTCTAGTAATTAGCACCCATCTATTGCAGCAACGTTACGTGAGCTCATTTACCAGGAACCTTCAAAGAGTACAGGCCAAACTGGCGGTCTGTAAATAATCGAGCCTGAATCAGACAATCCAGTGATTGACATCATGCGCATCGATCCACGCAATTGGGATACGATGACGTGCATCAACCAAGTCATCGAGCCTGACCACCCGATCCCGTTAGTCCCTTCTTACGACAAGCATAGTCGCCTGCAGCAAGCATGGGTTGCACCGTGATGAGGAGAATGAAGCAGGGATATTCAAGTGTATACTTTCTTTTACCGGGCAGATTATAATGTTTATTTGATGAATATGATTTATTGTCAGAAAGGCAACATGCAGATAAAAGTATATTTACAGTAGGTGATGGCGTTAACTGACTAAAAATTGGAAACTGGACTCGGGAACATGTGCGCTCGTTTACGCACACACCCATACAAATAAACATATATACACAACGTGAATTGACATGTTTATAATAATATTGTTGTAAACAAAACTCACGTGTACTGATTGTCACGTGTCCTAAAACGGGGATGACAAACAAAACCAAAACGTTTCGTTCCATTTTCGGAGTTAGTAGGTTAGCTATGAACCCTTCAATACATTAGCAACCGTGTACATAAGAAAGCCACACACGGAACTGTTTGGAGTTAAGATTAATTCCATCGGTAAGGCACCCAAACCAACAGATACTGTTTGACATTCCTCTTGTCACAATGTCCCTCCACAAAGAAACTTAAGTCATTTTACAGTGTGTCAGCTGTTGATTACAGCGTGGAAGTATTATAGGGCAGTGTGTACTGGTCTAGCTACCAGGTCATTGCAACCAGAGACAGACAACCTTGGTGGTGAGTTATCCTTAAGCGTCAGTGTTTAAAATAGAGCATAAGCAATGCGTTGCATGGCATAGATGGACACAGTGTTTTTCGCTTACATAGTGTAAACCGCTAGAATCTTCATGTCATGTCTTTAAGTGAGTGAGTGAGTATGGTTTTACGCCGCTTTTAGCAATATTCCAGCAATATCACGGCGGGGGACACCAGAAATGGGCTTCACATATTGTACCCATGTCGGGAATCGAACCCGGGTCTTCGGCGTGACGAGCGAACGCTTTAACCACTAGGCTACCCGCTACTCGGGCGTTCCTCCCACATCAAGGTGACACGCCGTGATATAACTGGAATACTGTTAAAAGCGACGTTGAATCCAACTCACTCACTCACTCTTCACGGCCAGTCGACGCCACTGTTTTTCCTCATTGCATAACTACATAGAGAACCGTATTGGATAGTGCTATATGTAGCGTGAAATGATACTCATTCATAAGTCTGAGGTATCGTACTAAAACGCTATCAATTTACAATATCTAAATAGACATTTCTACAAATTGTTGTGTAGGAAACTACCCATATAGCTGGAACAATCGAGTTGCTGCCCCTTGCTGCCTGTCAACCAAACTTTTCTCAATGTATGGCTTTTTATCACTTTTTACCATTGGAAGGCGATATCTCGTTTCTTGTACTTATGTAGGTACTTATAACTGCGCTCTTCTACATACACATACACATATAAAATCAACAAAACCCTTTTCGTAAATTCATGTGGAGTCCATTGTTAAAACCCTTAAATGTAAAACTTACACTTAATGGACACATTTTTTTACATTAAGGGTTGCGGTTAATCCTTGTTACAACACTAAGTGTTAAAAAATATTCTTAATGTAAAACATTACATTAAGGGTTGAAGTGACAGATAATATTTTTTTAACACGTAACCCTCAATGTAAACATTTTTTCACTAAGAGTAATTTTTACATTAATGTTTGAATCAGTCCACTGTGCAATTCAACATCCTGAGCATATTCATATGAATCACTATCAAACTCATTTCAAGCATGTACGTTCATTATATGGACTACCAGATGAATGAACCAATTGTCCCAGAAAATGCTTCAGAAATATTCATTATATCAATATATCTTTCTGCCACAACAAATGCATTATTGCTAGATGTAAATGTTCATAGCTCATAAAACAAACCTTGTTTTGCAGCTGTAGCCGAAAAATTATCCAGTCTCCACACAAACCCTAGCAATGGAAGGTTCCACCCAACGCGTCAGTGTTGTTGTATACATCCTTGTCATCATGTTCGGGGTGGCGTCCTGGGTGGACATCAATGGTTTGTGGGTGGAGCTACCCATCATGGTCCAGGAGCTTCCAGAGGGGTGGAATCTACCCTCGTACATGGTTAGCCTAATGCAGTTGGCTAACCTAGGACCCCTCATCTTCACACTGACCAGTGTCCAATGCCCAGGACGTCTTTCCGAGAAGGGGACAATCTATTTTATCATCACCGTAGGAGCATCAGCGTGCGTCCTCTTGGTGTTCTTCTGGAGAGAGACAGCGGTTATTGGTGGCGTTCGGCACAGTGTAGCATTGTTGAGTCTTAATTTCTTCCTAGCTTTTGTTGACACCACGTCTTCGGTTGCATTTCTCCCTTTTATGGCCATATTTAAACCTGCATACATGACGGCGTATTTCATAGGCGAAGGCTTCAGCGGACTCCTTCCTGGACTGATGGGCCTCGCTCAGGGAGCCGGTCGTGTCGAGTGTGTTAATCATACTGTCATCAACAATGTTACAATCAATGGAACCTCTTTTGAAAAAGAAGCCTATCATGTAAGACCATCCTACGTCGACAACAACTTCTCAATTGAGGTCTTCTTCGCCTTCATCGGCGGCATGATAGTGACGTCGGGGATCTCGTTCACACTGCTCAGCTACCATCCTCGATGTAAAAGGGAATATGCAGCCTGCCCACCAGCCGCAGCCAACGGTGATGATGACACTGACATTAATGCTAAACTCAACGATTGTAATGGTGATGAAATTGACGCTAAACTCAGCGACTGTAGGAAAGGAGATCGCCATCTTATTGCTACACTCGTCGACTCTGAAGATGAACGGATTGCCTTCCGGAAGGTCGGTAAATTACCCAGTGTTTCTACTGAGGACTCACGGGGGATGACGAGACTAGAATACATGGCTTCGCTGCTTCTAACAGGTAACATCTAAAATTTCAGTCATTTTAATACGCCTAGAACATCTGACAGAAGACGGGAAAAGAAATGAATAAATATATAAATAATAAATAAATAAATAAATGGAAAGTGCGTAAATTGCCGGGCAATAGAAAGTATACACCCATGTTTGATGGTGGCTAACAATGAAACAAACAAGAAATGGTTATTCGGAGTGGATGTATTTGATACGGGTATGATAGCTGTGTTTTAGACCTGACGTTTGCAGTGTTTCGGCGACCGTTTTCAACGCCAAGTAGTAATGTTTTGGCCAAATGTAATTGTAAGAGATTACTTTCGCTTGCTCGGCAGTTTAGGTTAGCATAATTAACAGAAATTTGTAATACACGTAATGACTTTGAGCAAACTGACCGTTTCCACTAATTTCATCTGATCCCACAACTTTCCAATGTCTGTGTTTAAGTAAAGGCATGACAATAGCTGTCGAACAGCATACCGTGGCATTGCACAAAGTAGTACTTGCTCTAACCCTTGCTCAAGTCTAGACGCTGTGACTGCTGTAGAGCCATGGTCGAGGGTTTAGGTCAGTTGAATAATATAGATTGTTTGGATTGATAATTTCTTTTGAATACCTGGATATCACATGTGCCTCCTTTTAGATTCTGCTGGATTATATGTTTGAAAAGACGTATTTAGTTGTTTTGTTTCATGTTGGCCAAAACATTATCGACCGGTGGATCTGAAAAATAGATTTCCTTGGATACATATATAAATGGATTTGCTGAAATATTACGCAATATACGTAACCAATATCCTGATGTCACAGATCTCATATACTGAGGTAGATAACACCATTACAATCTTAGTGCAATTTGTACTCAATAGGAGACGCAACTCTAAAGTATTGTCTTTTAAAGGTATGTTTGTGAGGTCAAGCATTTGCACGCTCCATTTCTTATTTCAGTGTACAGTTACTATGTCGGCCGAAAGTTAAAAAATAGACCTTGACAAAGAATATGCCGTATATATAATGGACTATGCATTATCATTGCAGGTTGGATAAATGCTTTGACAAACGCGGTACTCATATCGGTGCAGACCTATTCGTGTCTACCCTACAGCACCAGCACGTACTATCTGACTGTTACCCTAGCCAACGTAGCCAATCCTCTGGCTTCCTTCATGGCGTTCTTTGTGTACGTCACTTCCGTCCATGCGCTGTCGGTCCTGTCTCTGATTGGTTCTCTACTCGGGGTGTACATCATGGCTGCTGCGGTTATGAGTCCGTATCCGGTTCTTGTGGGAACTGACGTTGGTGGACCTCTGATGGTAAGAAAGACAGTGACTTGAGCACAACGGACCCTTGTAAAACCGGACGTTCTGTAATCCGTCACAATTTTCGACGTGTGTAGGGATACCTATCGTTGTCTGTCTTTATCTGTGTATGACGTGCATAGATATTCTGGCACTAAATATACTTATTTACGAGTACACCCTTTAAATCCCCATTACTTATAGGAATGTTTGGAGAGAGTTATGAGATCTTGAGTAAATTGCTTTACAACATGTGCATGGCATTTATTTTAGATAAAAGCTTAATATCCGTTCCATAAAAATATATTTGCTGAAAGTTAAGTCCTTGGTACTTTTCCAGCTGTATCGTACGCATGTGTTTATGAATCACTATAAAATAGCGATGATACCAGGAGTTCGCGTTGAGGTGTGTCAAAATTCAAAATAGGGAATAGAGCATCAGAAATCATTTTGGTCACTGAGCATTACTATGGCATTGAGCATTGTAACCTTGATCAAACAACTTTTGAGCAAGCGTCGTATAACGCTCTTTGAAATCTTTGTCAAAAGACTGTGCCTCGATTGTACCTCAAAAATGGGAAACGTTGTTTAAACAAGCCCATGGCAGTGTCTTTCGAACATTTATACGGTACTACTGGCGGATATACGTTATTGGTTGTGGGTTATTTAACAATCCCCTGTTTCAGGTGTCAGTTTGGGTCGTCTGTGTATTCATCCTCACCTACGCGAAGGTATCACTGGCGTCGCTCTTCAGGGCGGAAGGCAAGAAAGGTCTGCTTCACTGTGGCGTAGCAACACAAGTCGGCTCCGCCATTGGAGGTGTTTCCATGTTCGTCTTCGTCACCATACTTCATCTCTTTGTCATGGTTTACCCGTGTTCATGAGCTTCATCAGATACACCCGGTTCATGTATTCAATGTTTTTGTAGGTTATATCAGAATAATATCCAGTGAACACATGATATCTTTATTAGTGTTTGTTGTTTTTGATATTCCGTCTGAAATTAATATCCCCAGGATATTTAGTGGTGAGTCTCTTACGCCATTATTGACACAAGAGAAGACAGGTTTCACTGACATTGTTTCTGTATTAATATTATTATTATTATTATTATTATTAAAATACAGGTTTCAGGATGAAAAACATGTACACGCACAACTACATCTGAGGTATGAGACATGTCATGTAGACAGTTTATACTTCAGTAGCCTAGTGGTTAAAGCGTTTGCTCGTCACGCCGAAGACCCGGGTTCGATTCCCCACATGGGTACAATAGGTGTGAAGCCCATTTCTGGTGTCCCAAGCCGTGATATTGCTGGAATATTGCTCAAAGTAGCGTAAAAATCCACTCAGTCACTCAGTCACTCACTCACTCAAATACGTCCGGACGTCAACGGCAATTCTACATCCTGACTTTTAGCAACAATGACGTAGAAGGCAATTCTATATCCGGGATTTGAGCAACAAAGCGGTTGACATCCATTCTCTCCATCCGGGCTTTGAGAAACAGTCATGTAGACGGCAATTCTACTTCCGGGCTTTAGGACATAATTACGTAGACGGCAATTCTACATCCGGGCTTTAGGAAGGAATGACGCAGACGGCAAAACAACATCCGGTCTTTGCTCCTCAACGGTCGAAACGGCAAAGATGGCAAATTCATATCCGTGCCCAAGCTACTCACAGCGATAGCCCGTTCGCGGAGCTCTGCCACCAGTCAAAACTCCCCACTGTGAATAGGTTGCCACAACCATGCTTGGAGTTGAACTCGCAACCGAATGACCGTTTTGTTTACAAACAAGTGACGACTGTTGTGACGCCGAATACACTTATCGCTGCTAAATTACTTTCTTTGTTTGTCAGTTTGAATTTCTGTTTCATTACAACTATCGTGTTATGGATATAGTAAGAATGTAAGGGAGAAGTTGGTTGATTTTCCTTTAGTCTGCAATCTCGAACCAATCTGATTATATTAAAACAACAAAGTAAATTCATCTGGAAAACATGGTCAGTCGTAAACCTTTTCAAAATGAAATATCATGGCATTCCCAAAGACATAAACAAAAGTATTAACGTTACTACATTTGGGGTTAGAGGGCAAATTTCAAGATTCTTGTAATGGCCGCGCCCACACTGGTGGCAGCGATGTTACCGAGAGTGTAACGAAGGTGTCACGGGCTGGGAAGGAGCTGGATCCGTGCCTTGAGAAACAATGACGGCAATACTACATCCGGGTTGAAATCTATTCATTCCAGGCCTATGATATGTATTGTACGCTCACAGGCCGTTTGAAAATACTGGTCGTTCACGTGGGCAATCTGATAACACACACCGTTCTACTGGATAAATATTATCTAGTAATGTCAGTAAAAGTTTATTAATATTTAATAGAAAAGCAAGCTATAATTATCATATGACTTGTATCACATGCACATTAATTGTTACTATGTAAATACATGGAAGCGTGTTTAGTATGATGATAATGATGTATAACATGTTTAACATACATGATATGATCACCCGGAGAAATGCACTGGACCTCACACACAGATAAGAACACACAGCTTTCACTTTCTCTGCCTGTATGTTAAACAGTTATTACAACAGCTGTAGAGATAAACTTGCTTAACAATAAACAATTAATGTTTTAAGCAAACCAAACAGTATTAATCACATGCCCAGATTACCTCAATCTCATTAAAACCAGATACAAGCTCTCGCTACCGCTTAGGACATCCCATTACGAGAACAGAACAGAACAGAACAGAAGTTTATTGCTCGAAAGAAAATCACATCAGGTTGAATATAGAAGAAGAAAGAAGAAGAAATGTTTATTCAAGTGTCACATATTGTACATAAAACACATTTTAAACAAAAGCAAGTTGCCATTAAAAGTACAATATCCAACCTCTAGGGCTTATGAGACACTCTAAAAGCATTTAAAACATACAACATTATTAAATATAAAACACAAAATAAAAATATTATATACAATGTTAAGACTAGAAGAGATGCACTCTCCTTCTCTTCATGCTGTATAATGTGCTTGCTAAAAGCGGTGTAAAGTCACTTCTTGCATCAAATAAGATAATTGCTGAATGCTATTAAAATAATAAAAGTCCTGATTTAATTCAGCTGCCTTGTGTAGTAGTTGATATCTCAGGTCACTGTATACAAAACAATCTATTAAAAAGTTTGATTCATCCTCAATAACATAATTATTTTTTTCTGCACAAAATTTACATATTCTATCATTTAAAGGAATACGTGGCTTGGAATAGCGGCCTGTTTCGACTAATACACAATATATACACAACGGGGTGTTTTCACTGTGCCAGCAGCTATTGTCCTAGTTTAAAAATCAGTAGCCCATGATAATCCCTACAACAATGGGGATTAACACTATAGACTGTTTCACTTTCACTGACTGACTATAGCCAGACTACAGCCTGTCTAGGTAGATATAACTCGAAAAATGTATGTAGTAGTATAGGTTTTTATTAATTATTAATTAAAGATTATATTTATGTACAGATGTACAAATTTTCAAGACAATATAATACAGTAGTTTGTATTGATGCCAAAAAATGTATGTAGTAGTTTAGGTTTTTTATTAATTATTAATTAAAAATTCCATTTATGTTCAGATGTACAAATTTTCAAGACAATCTAATACAGCTTGCAAAATTTATGTCTCGCTACAGCAAAATCATACAGCATCACCATATTCGATGGGAGATTTAACACCAGCTGCGAGCAGTCTCTCCTCTCTGTCTAGTTTGTCTTCCAGCTGGCGGTACTTCATCTTCCTTGGTCTCAGTGTGCCACCGTTATGTAACTGCATGATGTTCACTCCTGTAAAGTTTTGTTCATTCTTGGTCATGTTAATGAACCTGTATACGTTCGGGTGGCAGGCAGCGACCTTCGACATCTTGGAATGTCATCCCTCGACGTGGTTAGCTGTTCTAGGGCCGATGATCAGGAGCTTGTTGTCATCTTCTGCATGGAGGAGGAAGTTCTGGCCTCTGGTGGTCTGTTGGTAGATGTCAGGCAGGTTGATGTGACGCTGCTTGGGTAAAGGTGGTAAAGTCTTAGCTCTGGCACGGTAGAGACTGACACTGACACTGTACAGGGTTGGTACAGTCTAAAGTACCTCATCGACCTCGGAACATCTCAGCTCTAAAAATAAAAGTATTTAATTAATATTTGATTTAATGGAAGCTACAACACAAACAAAATACAAAGATATCACCAGATGGTTACAGTAGAAACTGAAAATTACTGAAAATGTCATTTGTTGCACTTACTGTTCAGCTCTTCTTGATAGATACTAGGCACCGGCCTAGGGTCAACTTGAACTGTATCTATCATGGAGGCAAGGAAGACGTTGACTTTCAACTTGGCTTAATCGGGAAGATGGTTATGGATGTTCCTGTAGGTAGTTATGAGATTGTTGGCAGTGTTGGTGGTTGCAAGACATCCAGCCTTACAACACCTCCAGTGCACTGTGCCTCGTCTTCTTGTCTTGACTCTGAACTTATGTCCACCATACACTAAACTCTGTCCACCTCGCGAATTCGGAATGAACTTACCGTTCACCTGTACATTTGCCATTTTGCAATAAATTCTCAAATGGCACCTCCATATATATACAGTGTATATACCCGTTATTTTAAACTCACTCAATTTGTCTGTTTGGAAAAGTATAGTAATCAGTGATTTATGTTCACATCAAATAATTTAGCCATATCTGTTAAGCTGAACACAGTTCACTTCATTAGTTAAGTTTGGCTCACAGTGGGTCACAGCTAAGTCATCAAGGAGCTCAGATAATCAGAACAGGCTATAGCTGGCAAGTCACTGGACCGTACAAGTTAATCTCCCCAGCCTGCTGGCAAAGTGAGGGTAAACCTACACAACCACACCAACAATAATATCTAATAATATATACATACATGAATACATACATGCACCCAATCACGCATAATGCATTTCTATAATACATGTATGATCTGCACAACTACACACGTGAACACATAAAATATACACATATATTATATTGTAGAGTGAAATTCACAAATTTTAACGTCGCAAGGGCAATTTTCCAGCCATAGATCGACGATCCTATGATATTTAATTATGTAAATAATGTTAAACCTTTTTTACAGAACTGAGCCAGTTTTACTAGAATGGGTTTGTATGAACATTTCATAAATTGATTGTATTTTAGAGTGGAGGGATATTTAGTATAGTATGCCGGAAGGTATTGTTTTCGAAGGTCATATAGTCTTGGACATACTAATAGAAAGTGAAATTCATCTCCTATTTGGTCGTTACATAAAGTGCAGGTTCTCTCTGTACTCTGTATGTTAAACCATCTGCCTTTCTCAATTGGTAGTCTATGATTTGATGTTCTCAGTTTAAGAATCCAGATTGCTTGTTTCAATGGGAGAGATAATAGATACTCATCAAACTGTGGTTTGTCTTTTAGCATTGTATAATATTTGCCTTTAGATGAAGAACAAGCCTTGACATTTCAGCTTTGATAGAAGTTGTCTGTTAAGGTTTGTTTAACATTTGTTTTAAGCCAAGAGAGATTTGGAAAAGAGTTAGTATCAAAGACAAAATTCAAACCAGTTTCATGTAAAATATTTTAATTGAGGTGAGCCATGGAAATGCAGTATTGCTAGTCATTGTGATTTTATGAATTAGCAGATAGATGCGGCTAGATAGTTTATTAGGCGATAAAATTAGTTTGCTCCAAAAAGATATCATTCTTATTTTTATCTGGATCGTTAATGGATGTCTACCTAATTCACCATATACTAGAAAATCGGGTGTTGACTGTTTTAATCTGAGGATATATTTACAGAACTTTAGGTGAATTCTTTCAATTGTCTTTACATTTTCATACCCCCATACTTCTGAAGAATAAAAAAGTATGGTTGAACCAAATTGTCGAACAGTTTAAGTTGGCAATCTAAAGGAATGTCTAGTGTTCTTATTCTTCTAAATGTGCTGTACATTGCTTTTGATGCTTGCTCACTTAACTTTTTGATAGCTTTGTGGAAACGGCCAGTGCTTGTAAATAGGATTCCTAAATATGAAAACTCTTTAACAATTTCCAAGGGTGTGTTACGAAATATTAAGTTTAGATTTTTAGCGCGGGAGCGTTACAGGTCATGTCAGAACGACCTTTCGCAAACTTTGACCGACCGACTAACAGGAAATCGACATTAGCTAGTGAGAAAGCAGCTTTTTAGAACTTTGCGGCACTAGTTTTAAACTGGCGACATCCGTTCCAGACTATGCTTTATAAAGTATCTTAAATCAGTCAAACAGCCCGTAACCATAGTTTTGTGTTAAGCTTCAGAGGTTGCATGTTTAGAAAACATATTCCGCTAACAATGTACCACAACAATATGAATATTTCATTTTTCATTTTATTTATTACATGTTTGTATCTTTATCTCGACATACTCGTTAATCCGACATAATCATATGCAACCAACTATGTCGGATTAACGGGACTTGACTGTATGTGTGTTGTTGTTGGGGTTTTTTTAAACGCCGCACTCAGCAATATTCCAGCTATATAAAGGCGGTCTGTAAATAAACGAGTCCGGACCAGATCTACGAAATTGGGATACGATGACATGAATCAACCAAGTCAGCAAACCTGACCTATATTCAGCTTAGGTGTGCAAATCAGGTTGACGGGCTCTTGTATGACACACATATACCACCAGGACTTACATCGAACTTGGTACTATATCAACATTGTACAAATGTACAAATAAACCAGGCTAGAGTACATCTTCCCGAGGCAAGGGAGTTAACTGACTATAAAAGTCCAGTTTCCACCGTGGAAACTGGACTTTTATAGTCAGTTAACTCCCTTGCCTCGGGAAGATGGCTAGAGTAATGGTGCCTAGGAAAATTGACACTTGTGATGACAACAACCCCTATAGCATTGGTTGAAGCGTGAAGAGGTTTTCAAATCAAGAGGTTGCAGGCTCATATCCCGCAAAGGTTAATAAAGTCTTGTGTTCATAAATGGTATTGTTGCTGTTGACTAATTGTATTGCTCTCATACAGAAAAGACCCGTGAAGATGCGGGGTAGAATAGGTCTTCAGCAACCCCTGCTTGTCGTAAAAGGAGACTGTGCTTGCCGTAAAAGACGACTAACGGGATCGGGTGGTCAGGCTCGCTGGCTTGGTTGATGCATGTCATCGATCCCAATTGCGTGGATCGATGCTCATGATGTCAATCATTGGATTGTCTGGTCCAGGCTCGATTATTTACAGACCGCCGTCATATAGCTGGAATATAGCTGAGTGCGGCGTTAAACAACAAACCAACAACCAACCATACATAATCCTTTGAAAAATAAGATTTTTTCGCATTTGATGTCGGAAAACAATTAAAAAGTATATATAAACCTGTCGTACAAAGACTTCGTAAGTTAGCAAACCCCAAACAAAGCCACATTTTAACAACCTCAATGAAACCCAAGACGAAATTACTGTGACACGCGTCGATGTATGATACTAGTATTAGCCGTGTCCACAGGTCAATCTGACATCATTTGTCCCAGAAAGAAAAATGGATTTTGAACATTTAAGCAGCAACTTATGAGACGCAAATGAGAAACAGAAACGTACTGAAACAGGCAGATAATCAATTACATGTAAATAGGTCACACAACAGTCACACATCACGGGTACCTCCAAAGTTCATGAACTCTACCTATCTTACCAAGGTACACAGGGACAACTTGACATTGACCTCAGCACGACCATGTTAAAGCGCATGCGGTTACTTTGGTATGCCACGCCATGCTTCTGAATAACTAGTGTGTATTTTCCATGTAAATTACCTGGAGGGAAGGCGATGCACTGGTAAACAGGTAGGTCACACGTTAGAATGATTGACGTAATACGAGTATTGATAAACCAATAAAGACAATTTACCTGTGTGATGTGCCATCGCTTACTGTATTCGTAACCGATTTTGCAGTTCTCGCCTATCTAAAAGTATCGTACTGAATCTCAGGAAGGGGCTTGGGGCCAAGATTGTTCCAACCTACACAATTAAAAATTACCCAGCTGGGAGAAGATAATCTAGATAAAAAAATGTTGATTATCCAGACCAGTATTGTTCAAACATAAGCGGATAATTACGAGAGGTGGGGTGAAATGGGGTATAACGTCGCGTCCAAGATTATTGAATATATATATATGTGTGTGTGTGTGTGTGTGTGGGGGGGGGGGGGGGGTGTATGTGTGTGTGTGTGTTCGAGGCTGATTTCTAATACCGATTTTATAGTGCTAGCCCACTGTGAAACCATGAATACCCAACTCAGACACAGTATACTGACTCCGAGCGGACCAGTTAATGCCGAGCGAGGGTAACAACAAGTACTATCTTTTGACGTCTTTATGTAAGACGCGACCGGGGGTCGTACCCCGAACCGTCCTCTCTCCGGGTGGACGCTCTACAACTAGACCACGGAGGCGGTCAATAATTATGCGAACCGCGAATACAACCTATTGTTATTGTACTAGTAACGTCCAAATATAAACTGACGTTGTTACATGTTGGGATCATTTAAATACTCAAACATACTTCAACGAGTATACGGATTTATCGTTCGTGTTTATTACATGTGAACGTATGTGCCTATATTCTGAAATGTATTCTGAAAGTCTTACTTCATTTATTATTTAACAAATCATATGAAAAGTTTTCTTTATTTCGTTCCCAAATTTAATGATAGCATGTAGATAACGTCTGTCTTAATCTCATTCCAAACTTCAACAGTGCGCAGTTAACATTGGTTGTGTTTCATGATATCACAAAAGAACAGGTCGCATAGATGTTGGAATCCGTTGTACAGAGTTGCGTCCCTTACTCGTTCCAGGATTCTATTTTTGTGGTTTCAAATCCCATATTCACCCTCGATGATCTTTAGAATGTTATCACCATACCAGTACTTGTTGGTTTCACCAGGTCGGTAAACATCTGAGACCCTCACATTGAACTTTCCTTCAATAGTATTTGTTTGTTTGTTTGCTGTTTAACGCCGCACTCAGCAATTTTCCACCTATATGACGGCGGTCTGTAAATAATCGAGTTTGGACCAGACAATCCAGTGATTGACATGATGAGTATAGATCAACACAATTGTGATACGATGACATGCATCAACCCAGTCAGCGAGCCTGACCACCCGATCCCTAGCCTGTTACAGCGAGCAAGGGTTGCTGAAGACCTATTCTACCCCGGATCTTCACAGGTCCCTCAAAAAGTAAGCTGACACGTCTATATAACAGAAATACCATTCAAAGCGGCGTAAGACACAACTCACTCACTCATAATATTGTTTGTCTTCATTTCGTTTCAGGCCGGGGGCTTGATTTATATACTTGACGTGTGTTCCTTCAGTATCAGTCAGCCCTCCTTCCAAGATGGCGTGCTCCAAGAGTGTGAATGTCCTTGTCTACATCTGCATTATTCTATTCGGGGTGTCTTCCTGGGTGGACATCAACGGAATGTGGGTGCAGCTTCCCATCATGGTCCAGAAGCTCCCAGAAGGATGGAATCTGCCTTCGTTCATGGTTGCCTTAACCCAGCTCGCAAACATTGGACCCTTGCTCTACGCCATTGTTGCCAGCCGTGTCCCGGAGAAGGTGGTAATCTACATCATCATCGCTATTGGAGCGATATCGTGTCTGTTGCTTGTGTTTTTCTGGGAGGCGACGACTGTAGTTGCAGGTGGTCCTCACAGCACCGCCATGATGACGCTTTACTTCGTCCTGTCTCTCGTAGACTGTGCGTCAAACGTAGTTCTCTTCCCCTTCATGGCCATCTTTAAACCAGCTTATCTCACAGCATACTTCATAGGGGAAGGTTTCAGTGGACTATTACCAGGACTCATTGGTCTTGCTCAAGGCGCAGGACGCGTCGTCTGCCTCAACGTCACGACGTCTAACGTCACCGTCAACGGATCAGTGTCCATTAAGCCGGATTTCATGGATGAAAATTTCTCTTTCGAAGTTTTTATGTCTATAATCTGTGGTATTATTGTGATTTCTGGGCTATCATTTACCTTTCTAATTTGTCATCCAATGAGCAGGAAGGAATTTGTTAAGCATCAAGAGAAGCCGGAAAATCTATCACCTTTAAAGCTGAATCAGAATCCGGGAGACAGCTGTGCAAAGGGGGATCCTGTTGAGAAGGATAGTATGTTACCATTGAATGAGCAGGAGAAGTTGCACATGGCGGAAGCTGACCAACAAACCGAGGCCGGACGTTTTGGACGAAAATTATACCTGCTCGTATTAGTTGGTAAGTACCTCTGATCCTTGGAAATTAATTTGATTGAGCCCCCTGGACCCCCTCTCTCTGGATCCGCCTGTGCCGAGGTACCTGTGGCCAGCTTATTAGGTACACTTGATATTAGTAACCATGCTTGATTTGAGGCCTTAGAAGTATTTTGAAGTGGAAATAGAATACGATATTTTCAACCTTTTTTAAAATATTTCTCACATTCTGTTTACTTTTATGCCAATGAAAAGTAACCCAAGCCGGGCACACTCTTCAAGTACCGTATTCGATGTAATAACCGCCCAGGGCGCTCTCAAAATTAGAAATAGGGGGCTCTTATTTTATTACTATTTTGGTGAAAAAACATAAATTTCGTTGTTTATGCTGACGCCTGAAATGTTTATGTACGGCAGATATATTTTTCCAGATTTTAATTGCCCATAATGAAGGGTGCATATAACACAGGAGTGCGTATTGTGCGCGAATAAATAAGTCTTGTGTACATTGATCAATCCGAAGGGGTGCTAATTGGGATTGTTCACTAGCCAATATATTAGCAAATATCGCCGTGGGCGCTTATTAGAGCAGGGCGCTTATTACGTCGAATACGGTATTTGGAGTTCTCTCTTACACTGTCCGACAGTGAAATGAGCAAAACCCTTTTCTTTCAATATACAAGGATGTCTTTACTTTCAGGATGGGTGAACTGTTTGAGGAACTCGGCGCTGTTGGCCGTTCAGTCCTACTCTTGTCTACCTTACGGTGTCACCCAGTACCATCTGGCTGTAACGCTAGCAAATCTAGCCAATCCACTGGCGTGTTTCTTTGACCTTTTCATCCACGTCACTTCCGTTCCTGCGCTGTCCTCCCTGACCCTGCTGGGCTCCCTACTCGGGGCTTACATCATGGCGGCGGCGGTGATGAGCCCTGTGCCAGTTTTTGTGGGAACACTGGCTGGATCCATCTTGATTGTAAGTATCGTAAACAATAGTGTTTTGAAATAAAATGAAATTAATTCGACCGAAGGTGTTAATTTGGCATCTCTATGTTATATGTTTTGTATTGCATTTAGATAGAGGCCAAAAGGGCAGTTGATTGGGCCATGTGTTATCGTACTCCAATGGTGTGATCAGTGACAAATCTGGTTCGCCTGGTACAAGCCTCTATAACATAGTGATCATTATATTGAGGGTAGCAAGATATTAAAAGGCCACTACCATTTTTTTCTGAAATGAGTGCCAACCAATCACTATGTAGTACAGCTAATGTCCTTCAGGACATCCTAAAGGCAAAACTATTTCTACCCAATATATTCTGGAACAAATTATTTCTCTGTGTTCCAGGTGACGGCATGGGTGGTCTGTGTATTCATCCTCACCTACGTCAAGATTTCACTGGCGTCGCTCTTCAGGGTGGAAGGCAAGAAGGGTCTGCTTCACTGTGGCGTAGCAACACAAGTCGGCTCCGCCATTGGAGGTGCCGCCATGTTTGTCCTTGTCAATGTTTTGAATCTCTTTAAATCTGCTAACCCTTGTTCTTGATTTTGCGAATGCGAAACTCGCCCGAAAACTATTTGTTACAGGATGTCCAAGCATCATATCCCGCAACCCCCTGCTACATCCGCTCTCTTCCCGCGTAACGTAGGGTATAAATACAAAATAGATTTGCTACCTAGAAGGTCATAGCCGTGAAAGAGCTGAGTGCCTGGCTAGCCCATATCTGTTGTTTAGTGCTCTCATCTCAGATCTGTTGTCTAGTGCTCATACTATCTCAGATATATTGTTTAGTGCTCATACTATCCCGGATCTGTTGTTTAGTGATCTTATCTCAGATCTGTTGTTTAGTGCTCATACTATCTCAGATATATTGTTTAGTGTTCATACTATCAGGGATCTGTTGTCTAGTGCGCACGCTATCCTGGATCTGTTGTTTAGTGCTCATGCTATCCCAGATTTGTTGTTTAGTGATCTTATCTCAGATCTGTTGTTTAGTACTCATACTATCTAAGATATATTGTTAGTGCTTATACTATCCCGGATCTGTTGTCTAATGCGCACGCTACCCTGGATCTGTTGTTTAGTGCTCATGCTATCCCAGATTTGTTGTTTAGTGCTCATGCTATCCTATGTCTGTTGTTTAGTGCTCATGCTATCTCAGGTCTATCTTAAACATTACTAAGGAGGGATCTGGAAAAGTGTAGCAGTCAGGTGTCTGTAACACCATGACGGCAAGATCAGCAGAACACCATCACTTAGACCCACGTGATATTCATTGGTGATATGTAAAAGCAAGATTGTCTTTGTATTTATGAAGCCTAGCTGCAACCTTTAGGTATCTCCATCTATAATAGCATATGCAATAACGTTTGCAATTACCACGTTTCACGACTTCCAGGTCGTATGCAGTATGTTTTGCCTTTACCAACCTTCACGACTTCCAGGTCGTATGCAATATGTTTTGCCTTTACCAACTTTCACGACTTCCAGGTCACATGCAGTATGTTTTGCCTTTACCAACCTTCACGACTTCCAGGTCGTATGCAATATGTTTTGCCTTTACCAACTTTCACGACTTCCAGGTCACATGCAGTATGTTTTGCCTTTACCAACTTTCACGACTTCCAGGTCGTATGCAATATGTTTTGCCTTTACCAACTTTCACGACTTCCAGGTCACATGCAGTATGTTTTGCCTTTACCAACCTTCACGACTTCCAGGTCGTATGCAGTATGTTTTGCCTTTACCAACTTTCACGACTTCCAGGTCACATGCAGTATGTTTTGCCTTTACCAACCTTCACGACTTCCAGGTCGTATGCAATATGTTTTGCCTTTACCAACTTTCACGACTTCCAGGTCGTATGCAATATGTTTTGTCTTTACTAACATTCACGACTTCCAGGTCATATGCAGTATGTTTTGTCTTTACCAACCTTCACGACTTCCAGGTCGTATGCAATATGTTTTGTCTTTACTAACATTCACGACCTCCAGTTCACATGCAGTATGTTTTGTCTTTACCAACCTTCACGACTTCCAGGTCATATGCAATATCGTTTGTATTCATTTCGATCCCAAATTCC